TATTTTACGTTTAATTACTTTGAAACTGAGATGACTGACGTCCCGATGTCATTGTTAAACCCGGAGTACCTTCAGCTTTTTTAATTATTGTTTATGGTCCGATCTATGCAAAATGAACTGACTATGTCTTGTAGTGGTATGCTTGGGTTTAGTTTTAATTTTATTAATTATAGGATCCCAAGCAGGTGGTAGTACCCAGCCTCCTTCTCTATTGAAATTAGGATGTTTTTTGATTTCAATAGCCTCACGTATCTTCCTTGGTAGGAATCGATGTTCTTTCGCGATGATTTGTGGTCTGTCAAATCTGATGTAATTCTAGATGGCCCCAACCATTACTTACGTCTTTAAATTTAAACGGATTGCATGAATTTTAGCACAATCATTAGGGCTGCCATTCGTCCGGGTTTACCCTATTGGAAAGAAAGACATTTTACCAAAAATGGTAAAATAAAAAAACAAAATTTTTTTTCTACCTACGTCCATTCGAGACTGAAACCATTCAACCGATTTTGATATACTTTTGTGAGCATAATATATAAAATCGGTTTATTTTCACATTTGGACCCGGTAGGTGGCGCTGTTCTCAAGATTCAGAAATGACCCGTGCGAAGCCTAGGCGGATCGCCAGTATAATATTAATAATATTATGTTGAAGTTAGTTTTTTTTGAACAGCGTCGCAATATCAACAAAAATAAATAAATCTAGGCCATGTGTTTGTGAGGTATTGAGTTTAAACGAGACTAGAATAATGTTTAAGCGATCACGCAAAATATATTTGACTAAGACCCGTTGTTCCAAATAATGATATTCTTTAAGTTGTGCATGAGTACTACCTTGGGCAGATATTGAGAATAGCCTGGAACAACTTTGAATAACATATAGATATGAGGAGCTTTGAAAGAATTTTTTATAACCAAGAAAACGAAAGTCTTGACTATAATGCGTTATACCAGTACCCGCTTAAAAGTTGACAAAAGTGGACACTAAAGGATGAACTGGTATTATAGTACGTGGGGGTAATATTGGTCATCTGGTTAATATGGTCACTCTTATAACTCAAAAACTACAGCCTTGTTTGAATAGATGCCTCTGTGATACGATAGCTCTTCATCGCATCGGCCAATCAAATAATAAAGGCTCAAAATGGCGCTGCTTTATCGACACCACTTTGACAGTTGAAATAATAGTAATACACTACACCATACTAAAATCGACAATATTTTAGTCGATTTTAGTATGATGTAGTATAGTTAGCTTTTTAAGTAGATCTTTTGTAGTGTTCTTAATCTTGCCAGAGCTTGTTTGCTATTTTTCCTATTATATATTTTTGTCTCTGTCCTCCTCCTAGTTTTGGTTTTATAGGGTGGCAGAGTTTAAGAAGACCATATTAACCTCACGTACCTCATCACAATCGAAGAGTTATATTTATAGCCTTTAAAAATAATTTAATGTTAAAATAACACTTCGCCTATAAGTTGGACGGTTCTGAATTAAGTTTAAATCTGTTATCAAAGGTCAATAGCTATGGTTTTATTTAATGGACTAAAAATGATCAAGAATGTTTTTTTTTGTAAATCATTTAAAATAAAGTCAGATAAAATCAAAGGTTAAAATAAAACAACTAAAACACTACATTATAAAGAACTAGGTAGTTAAGACATTGTTGTTTCGTTATATTGACTGCCTGCCTCGGTTTAAGGGTTGTAAAGCGCGACTACTGGTTGGTTAGGTTTACGGGGTTCAAAAACCTTCTTCTTCTTAAAGTGCCATCTTCTTTCAAAGGTTGGCGATCATTAAGGCAACTTGTATCTTTGAAGCCGCGGCTTTTTTTTTTAAAGAATATTATTAACAATGCTATGAACATTACTAATATTCCCCTTAACCACTCGTGGCTCGAGCTTAAATTGCTTGTGTTACGAGTGGTGCACGCCAGTAGTAGTCGAATGGTGGATTCGAACCCACGACCTTTTTGAGTTTGCGGTCCGCGCCCTGCCATTAGGCTACTGTCGCTTTGAATAAGGAACGGGTGCTTTTTCGAAAACTATTGGCGTGGGTTTTTCAGCCAAGATTTGCTTCTTCGACGCACACTTGGTTTTCCTTGGATCTTGCCCTGTATGATGAGTTGTAGTAGATCGTATTTTCGGTCTCTGATTACGTGGCCGAGATATTCAAGCTTTCTTTTCTTTACTAAATATACAACTTCTGGCTTTTTCTTTACTCGACTTAGCACGGTTACGTTCTTTATTTTGTCTCTCCAGGATATCCTTAACATCCTCCTGTATACTCACATTTCGAAGGCTTCAATCTTCTTACAGCTCGATTCTGTGAAGGTCCATGGTTTAACATCATACAAAAGAATGGAGAAAACATAACAGCGTGCTAATCGTACTCGCATCCGGATGTTCAGCTTTTTATTGCACAGGAGTGACTTCAGCTTGAAGAAGGCATTACGGGCTTGTTCTATGCGGCACCTTATTTCTAGACTCTGGTCTCCCGTATCATCAATCCATTAACCAAGTTTTTGTATTTGCTAAATTTTGTAAAGGCTGTCCATTACATAATAGAGAAGGGTTAGCAGGTGGTGTTTTACAAACTTTCATATATTTGGTTTTCCAGGTGTTGATAGTTGATACTGCAGCCATATGCTGAACTAACAGATTGAATTTTATCTATAAGGATCTGAAGTTCTTCCATTGTAGATGCAAGTGTCATCGGCATAACGGATATTGTTAATAATCTGACCATTCACTGTGATACCTACATCCACCCGATCCAATTCTTCGCGGAAAATCATCTCTGAATAAATGTTGAAAAGAATTGGCGAGAGAATACATCCCTGCCGTACTCCACGTAGAATTTTAGTCATCTTTTAGTTTGCCTAGAATGTATTATACGTACATTCGCCGATTGGTTTCAATATAGGTGTGTTTAATAAACCTATAATATATATATCGATCATGCTTGCATGCTGTACTCTATCAAATGCTTTTTCCATATTCGATAAAGCATACAAACACATCTTGATTTATGTCCCAGCATCTCTGTATACCCGAAAAGTGCATCTCTCGTTCCCAGGCCATTGATGAACCCAAACTGTGTTCTTGAAATGAGGTTTTCACGTTTGCTATAAATTATTTTGTGAATTACTTTAAGGAATAATTTAATTCTGTGCCACAAGTTAGTTTGTCGGACTTCATGAAGTCAAATATTTTACGATGAAACAAAACTTAGTACCTAACATAAGAATTTTTGATTTATAATTGTTTTTGATACCAATACATAATATGTTAATATGATAATGTTAATATGCTTTTAGTTTGTAATAAATAGATACTTTGATATAAAAAACTTTGATATTAAAAGCAACACATAATTAGGTATTCACATTTGAATAAAACTATATAGGTACCTATATACGGATTCCATTGCGTTTAATTTTCGGGAAAATTAAAAGGTATAGAATCCGTTTAAGAAATAATTAGGTATTCACATTATTAATAAACTATAATTATATATAGGTATATATTTACTTACAATGTAGGTCTTTTCTCAAACTTTTTTGTCTCTTGTTAGAAAACATAAGACAAATTAAGTTCAGAACATTTTTTAACAATGTACCTATTGTTACATATTTAAAAAAAATATGTTCATAAAATCGAGTAATGATGTCAAGTCACAGATTACCTCCTAAAAGTATAGTTTGAGGCACAGAATTCTAAATAATAAGGCATTATTTAGATTTCTGTGGTTTGAGATAACTCAAAATGACTAAAATTCTAGGAAATAGGTACCTACCTGTGCTCTTTTTAAGTTCACAAAATATTTATTATGTATCATAATTGCGAATGATAATCTTTAAGAAAATAAATAAACAGAATTCATTGTGACGACCCAATAGCCGAGTTGCAAGAGGTTAGTGTTAATGGCTAAGCCAGAGGTTGCAAACACTAAACTAAACGATGTTTTTACTTCTCTGGTATCTTGTATTTATCAATTAATTGAAGTCAAATTAAGCACCAATGTATGTGCACACCATTCAATAAAACCTATAATACAACAATACCATATGAATATTATCTCAGATTCATTAATCATCTCAATTCATTAGAATAAAAGTAGTTAAAAATTACAGCTTTTTACTAAATGCATCTGAAAGTATATACGATACTTATAACAAAACAAAATGTTTAAAATTTTCGTCTGTCTGTCTGCTTGTTCCGGCTAATCTCTGAAATGGCTGGACCGATTTTGACGGGACCTTAACTGGCAGATAGCTGATGTTATAAAGAGTAACTTAGGATACTTTTATTTTTAAACCCTAAATTACACGCGGGTGAAGTCGCGGGGAAGCTAAGTAAAGCACACTGTTTAATAACATCGTGCCAACTATGATTATAAAAGTACGAAATACCTACATAGATGTTTTGATTTCTACCTTAGCAATACCATCTGAGATTTCTACAATTTAAATATTGTTGAGCCTCTCGGAGACAAAATTTTATAATTATTTTAAAAAGTGTTTGTATACTCCAAGGCCTAAGGCTTTAACACACCTATAATAAAACTTTTGCTCTAGTATAAAAGAAACAAATAATGTTTTTAATGTCTTAAATACTTTCTATATTTCGTAATGTTACTAAAGAGATTTCGTGATATTATTACTAAGGAGAGCAACTGGCAACACGTAGCTAGATTCCTCTAGGTCTAATAACCAAGTCTTGGACGTTATTCGACGTCTAAGCGATCGTGGCAGCAGTGTTGCTGTTAAGGAACGGCGCGCGCGAGCAGGGTCAGCGGCCGCGGAGCTGACGGCGCGCGGAATTCGAGCTATGTGTATGAAATGAAAGTGGCCGCATCGAGAAAGCGCGCGCTTCATCAACAGCCGTCCAAAACGTTACAGTAAACCACCTCACTCACCATTAATAAACAAATCCAATTGTAGCAATCGCAACAACACAACAATCCGTTCTACGCGTATCCATAAGCACTGCACTGCACACTACGCGATCTCGTAGTCACTGCGCGTCACGTGGCGCAAAGGCGCATTCTCCATGAGCGCGTAGAAACGACTGAGTGAAGCGAAGCGGAGAGGGCGCGTGGGTCGACGAAGGCATGAAGGCACGCGCGGGGCGCGCCGCGACTGCAGCTCTGTGGAATGCGGCAAGATAGTGGCGCGGGTACCGGCTTGGGCTCGTTGTAGGATGGAGCCGGCCGAAGCCTCGCTCGCGCGCAGGCAAGCCTCACGCCGCGCCGGCTGCGCGACTTTGCGGCGTCTCCGATGGAATGCGAGCGTTAAAATTAATATAGGTACTTCCAAACACTCCACCTACTGTGTACAACTTAGTACTTATGACTTCAATAACATTTTACGACCGTTAAAAAACAATGAACCATAGAGGTAATTCTATAGGCACATAAATTTATATATGTATTTTAGAATACATTCATATTTCACTTTATTGATTTTCATATCTCAGGTAAAAAGCAATAAGAAATCTTTTCTTTAATTAAATCGATAGTACTAACAATATTTATTAAGGTGCCTTGGGGTAATACTGGACGGATTTTTGACTAAGTAAGAGTCTGACAAAAACTCTATTTTCTGGACATTCATATACGTAAGATTTCAGGAAGGATTTTAGTAGTAAACCTTAAATGGTAAACTAAGTATAAGAAGCTTTTACTTTTGTAAACTCATCGGTTTCTGCTTAAAACGTCTGCGAAGACAAGATAGGTACAATTTTTCATATGCATGATGAAGAATTGGCCATCAAGGGCAAGACCGGACGTATTTGTCCTATCTTTACCGCCAAAAACATAGGTATGTAAATATGATCTGTAAATTACTAGATACATAAATGTTCCAAACGGTTCTCTGTTTTTTGTTTCGTAGCATCCGATCTCATCCATGATACAAAGAAATTGTAATTTTGTGGTTCTCAAACTTTGTTATGACATAAGATGGAATAGCTCAATATAAGGATCGGATTGGATGCATTTGATTTTTTTACTGGGAAAGAAAATTTTATTTTAATAAAACCTAGATTTTTAAATAAAATGTAACAGTAAGGACTAATGAAAAGCCCTGGAGCAACACAGGAGTAGAGGAAGATGTAAGTAATTTAGCAGGTGGCGATTTCGACGTTCCGAAGATTAGTTCTAAATAAGTTTTGTTATTATCAGTTGTTGAAAGCCATTGTGTTAATGAATAGCTGTGTGGTGGTAACCCTTAAAAAAGCTAAATATTTCAGTAAAACGCAAGTTAACGGCATATTAACAGTTTTGAAAATTCTAATTTTAGAAGTCATTCATCACCATATTGCAGCGAAATGCGAAGAATTATAAATGTTTTAATGTGTATTTGTAAGTAATAGAACTATAAATAAAATATAACTGAAAATTAAGCTCAGTTAGGTACATTAAGGCACAATAGATTTGATATGATGCCGTGTAGTGGCGGTTAAGAATATCCACTACCCCATATCTTCCCGTGCGTGTCGTAAAAGGCGACATAGGGTAACAGGCAGGAGATGGGCAGCAGCATCTTCCTGATAACAGCAACTGCACAAGAAAAAAAAAACTGCGGTTGCCAACCCGCTCGTGGCAACTATGGCAGTATACTCCCCATGAACAATTATAAATAGACGGCCCCCAGTCCCCGGCGGCCCCGCTATTCCCGGCTACGGTGGTGACCATGGTAACGGTGAGGCAGGGGGTGCTAAGAATCTCCGGTGGAGGTTCGGTTGCCACCTACGACAACTCGACCTGGCAAAATTTAACGCACGCACCTAGAGAACTGACGAGAAGATCCTGGAGCTGGAAGAAGAGATAGACAAGTTGCGCTGGAATATTATAGGGTTATCCGAGATCCGAAGAGAGGGGGAGGATACGGCCATTCTCGTTCTCGAATCCGGCAACTTGTTCTATCACCGGGAGGGCGACCATCTGTCCTTAGACTTATGGACGATAAATCTAACACCTCCTTGGGTGTTAGATTTATCGTCCATAAGTCTCTCGTTAACAACGTTTTAAAGATTGGGAGTGTATCGACGAGGGTTGCGTACCATATACTCAGAATCACCAAACGGTGTTCGCTGAAGGTCGTACAGGTTTACACGCCAACGTCGGAACATCCCGATGAGCAGGTGGAAGAAATGTATAAGGATATTTCTAGAGCCATGCATTCCTCCAAAACTCACTATACGGTGTTAATGGGAGACTTCAACGCAAACCTGGGCATAAGAAGGAACGGTGAGCTGAAGGTAGGGAAATTTGGGATAGGGCAACGGAACCCAAGGGTTCAGCAACTGACCGACTTCATGGAGAAATAGGGACTTTTTATGATGAACTCTTTCTTCCAGAAGCAGCCCCACAGGAAGTGAACCTGGTCGAGCCCCGACGGTTCGACAAAAAATGAGATTGACTTCATTATGACGACCAGACGCCAACTGTTCCGTGACGTCTCAGTCGCAAGGTCGCAAGGGTGAAAACTGGCAGCGGTCACCGAATGATTAGAGGCCTACTGAACCTAAACGTTAATTTGGAGAGACCTCGTCTAATGAAGTGAACGCTCCGTCCCCCTCGTGCTCTGATACAATATCCCGAAACCTTTCAGCTCGAGTTACAAAACCGCTTTCAGTGTCTAGAAGATTGCAATTCTGTGGACGATATGAATTGCAAGCTTGTGGAAACTGTCCATGAGATCGGAGATAAGTTCTGCAAGACCCGCCGCAGAAGAACACAAAAACTCTGTTAGACGGAAACGAAGCTGCAATTGTCAGCAGATTTGACAGCATACAGGCAACTGAACAGCCAGATCTCCAAATGCATGCGGCAGGACTAAGGCAACTTTAATACTGCTTGTATTGAAGAAGCGATCGAGCGGAACCAGGGCTTCAAAGTCTTTGGAAGAGATCTGTCTGCCAGAAAGAGCCAACCGTCAAAGCTGAAGACTGTGAGTGTGGCAGCATCGTTTCCGGGACACCTGAGATTTTGATTGAAATTGAGAGGTTCTATGGGCAGTTGTACACATCATCGTTGGAGCCACACGCAAGTGTGAGTAACGAAGAGAAAGTCTTATCCGACACTATTCCGATGATATCCCGGACGTCAGTTTGAGCGAGATGGAGAGCTATTTTATTCTACAGCACCTTAAAAACGGCCCCAGGCGAGATTGGAATTACAGCGGAGCTTCTGAAAGCGGGTGGAACACCGGTACTTAAAGTCCTCCATGGTGGCACTACTCCGGAGGCGTGGAGCAGAAGTGCGGTGGTCTTGTTCTTTAAGAAAGGCGACAACGCTCCCTTGAAGAATTACAGACCGATTTCCCTTCTGAGCCACGCCTACGTGCTGTTTACGAGAGTCATTACGAATCGTCTCGCACGCAGACTCGACGACTTCCAGCCTCCCGAACAAGCCGGTTTCCGAAAAGGCTTCAGTCCCATAGACCACATACTTACCCTGCGGCAGATTGTACAGAAGACCGAAGAGTATAATCTGCCACTTTACCTGGCGTATGTAGACTATGAGAAATCTTGATATTCCGTCCAAATTTGGGCGGTGCTACAGTCCCTTCAGCGGTGCCAAGTTGACTGTCGGTATATCGAAGTTCTGAAGTGTTTGTATGGTAGGGCTACGATGGCTATCCGAGTACAGAACCAGAGTTCGAAACCTATCCAACTGCAGAGAGGTGTAAGACAGGGTGACGTTATATCCCCGAAACTCTCCACCGCTGCGTTGGTAGACGTTTTCAAGCTACTGGACTGGAAAGAATACGGTATTAACAACAATGGCGAGTACATCACTCACCTTAGATTTGCCGACGATATAGTCCTTATTGCAGAATCGCTGAAGGACGTAAGCACTATGCTCAATGACCTCAATGGTGTCTCCCAACTTGTCTTAAGATGAACATGGACAAAATAAAGATCATGTTTAATGTCCATGTCACACCTATGCCGGTAGTTGTTGGGAGCACTATGCTGGAAGTTGTTGACGAGTACGTTTACCTATGACAAATAGTCCGACTAGGTAAATACAACTTCGACCGAGAGGTCAATCGATGGATTCAACTCCTCTGGGCAGCGTTCGGGAAATTACGACACATCTTCTCGTCAGGTATACCTCAAACTCTGAAAACTAGATTGTACAACCAGTGCGTGTTGCCAGTGATGACTTACGGATCTGAGACGTGGTCCTTCACTGCTGGCCATATGAGGACGCTCAAGGTCGCTCAGCGAGGTATGGAGAGTGCTATGCTCGGAGTTTCTTTGCGTGATAGACTCAGAAATGAGAATATCCGCAGTAAAACCAGAGTGACCGACATAGCCCAACGGATTAGTACGCTGAAGTGGCAGTGGGCCGGCTACATAGTTCGAAGAACCAATAACCGATGGGGAGGAAAGGTTCTCGAGTGGCAGCCTCGTACTGGTAGACGTAGTGTAGGGTGACCCCCCACTAGATGGAGTGACGACCTGATAATACATGCAGGAAGTCGATGGATGCAGGTGGCTCAGGACCGAGCTTTATGGCATTACTTGGGTGAGGCCTATGTTCAGCAGTGGACTTGTGAAGGGCTGTAATGATGAATGATGAAGATTTGATAGTGATACTGAGCCCCATAGTCACTTGGGCAATCTTTGAAAGAAATGAAAGTTTGAAAACCACTGCCGTATTTGTAACGGGTAAAGATCGGATTAAATTCATCCGATCTTCACTCGCGCTAGGAAACATCGATCTCGGCCTGTAGCGATCTTAGTCCTATTTGGATCAGTTTTATCTAACTATAACTTTATATAAATTAGTATTCAATCAAAATAATAACAAAAGAAGCAATATTCTCGCTACAAATCGCAAATAAAAGTGATAAAGAAAGACCGGATGGACAAAAAATATACTAAAATTACCTTGTTTAATAAAATGCCTCGCAGTACACTAGACTACTTCCCAGAGCGACTGACTGGATCTTGTGGTTGAGGCAGAATGAAAGGGCGTCGTGTACCATATTGCTAACATTTAAAAATATAGCATAATTCGCCGGAAATTTGAATCTTACAGTCTTGCCCCATCACCGATCTTACCCGAACAAACCTTATATATATTATAATATAATTATTAGCTTAAGTGTTATAAATTATAATATACATAATTAAGAATAATGTGTCCAATAGTGATATAAGTTGAAACAATCTCAAGCTCTTAGGTCCAATAGCATAGGTCAGTTAAGCCTCAGCTAAAACCAACTAACTAAAACTTTTTTTTTGTCTAAGATGACAGAAAAAGTATTACTAGTTACCTAAAATATTCATCTGCGGGATATTTCACATAGACTTATGATTTGTGAGTTTTCACAATTCGAATATTTGGTCTTGGCGATAAAAAGTACAAACAAATCATTATTACTTATCAAATCAAAAGCAAAATACTAATTTGACGCAAATGAACGGGTGCGAGTTGTAAGATACTCGTAAAATTGTATTTCTTATCATTTATCTGATTATAATGAAAGCTAGCCTACATACTTGGCAGAGCCATGCTACAGGTAAATTAGTAGTATAGTTGTAGCACGAATGGGTCGGCTCGACCGGGGAAGGACCACGCTCTCACAGAACACGAGCGTAAAATAGTAGCTTAATGCTGCTGTATTTCGTATGGTGATTGTAGAGAACTGGAGACCATCTTAACTGGAAACGAGGCATTCCATCTTAGTCCTCACGGGTGACAACGCATCTGCTTTTTTATTCGTAATCGCGGATTGATGTAGATGTTTATGGGCCACAGCAACCACTTACCGACCACTTATCAGGTGGACTGTGTGCTCGTTTGTCACCCTATCCTATAAAAAAACATAACAAGTAAGATTTGTTGTATTCCATACATTTTTCAATTATCTTTTCCCGTATTATTTTCAAAAAAATGTGGGAAGTTCAGTTACTTACGGTAATGATATAGATCAGGAAGTCAATCTACTGCAGCGACAACCTCTAAATGTTATCTACACGATAGATAAAATAAAGTTCGAAAAGAATCACGCCCTACCACGGAGATGTGAGGCGCCTATACGTAACCTTTTTTTATTTGCTCGCAGGACCTAAATTATTATTCACTCTAGCGTGTGGTGACACAAATCCCCACAGTAACTATTAGTGTTTTCGCCTTTAGTCGCGGCCACGTACAAACAACCGTGCCGTGGGACAGCGGGCGGTAACAACGTGCTGGTTGCCTTGCTTACTCTTCCTAACCTACCCAAGCCCAATACAATATAGGACTTATGTGATAAAGCCGGAGACAGGCAACATTCACCTGTCTGAGTCACGAGGACAACTAGTAAATTAGCAAAATGTTAATATGCTACACTTAGCTGCTGCAGGAATTTAGCGGTTCGAACAACACGCCCTTACAGAATACCAGCGTGAAACAGTAGAATAATGCTGCTGCGTTTCGTATGAAAGTATAGAGAACCAGAGGCCCTTTTTAATACTAAAGAGACATTCCATCTTAGCTGTGATCGGTGACAACACAAGTATATTTTGATTCTTAATCGGGAATAATTGTAGATGTTTAGGGTCACAGCATCCACTTACACCAGGTAAACTTAAGCTAGTTTGTCACTCTTATTGTGCAAAGAAAAAACTGGTCGTCAGGCAGCTTATTACTACAAATACGTCATTACCTGCTTTACTACTTTAATTACTATTACTTAAATTTATGTTGCAGATGTGAGCGGCAGAATCGAAAAGGTTTGCCCTAGACGAAAATTTATCGACCAAATTGACGATATTTTGAAAAAGAGCTACATTACGTTAACTTAACCTATGCGTAGAAATATATGGATGTAAAGGAGGCGAGAGAGGTGTGTCGGGATCATGCCAAAGGGAAGTCCGTAGTCTCTGCCTTCCCCTTTGGGTGACAGGCATGATTGTTTATGTATGTAATATGTATGTATAAAAATAAAAAGCACCCACGTTACATAATTAAATACAGTTACGTATTTTATTCCGTCTGTCAAAGAAAAGGTGAAAAAGGCAGGAGAAGATAAAGGAGAAATCGTTGAGCATCATAGAGAAGTCAAGGACACACCACACCTGCTGAACATTATGAGATTCTCACCATACGAGAAATTAATACGTGCTGCAGCGAGAGTTAATCAGATCATCGACATCGTGCGAGGACGTGTTCGAGAACTGAACTTTGGACATATTGGGAAGGTAGAGAGGCTACAGTCAGAGTGAAGTAAGCACGAGAGCTTTACTGAAGACATCGCACGTCTCTGTCAAGGAAAGAACTTGGTCAACAGCAGCACTCTAACTAAGCTCAATCTGATCATGGAAAATGGCATTATTCAATCATACAGGCGAAAGGGAGAATAAAAGTAGTCAATGTGGACGACCACATGAAGCGACTAGTCATCCTAAATGACATCCGTTTGTAAAACTGCTCATTGAAACGCAAACCATGCAAACAGAGAAATGGTGGTCAGTGACTAAAAAAACGAAACAAAGAAACGTTCATCGGAGTAGATTCTTTCGGGCTGTCGTCGGTAACTGTAGGGTGGCGGCACGCGAACTCGTAGAATTAGACATAGCCTAACCGAATGATAGCTCCGGATGTAGTAGGAAGCGTAGAATAAATTAGCAGTAGAAAAGCATCCAGCAAATCATGCGCATAGATCTGTTGCATCTCTTGCAACCTCTTGAAACCTTTAGCCTTTTCTATATCACCAAATAAAAGCTGAGCTTGCTCTTTAAAAACGTAGAGTTCCTGGAATGTTCCTGGAGAATTCAACGGCACTTAAATCTCGCTCGTATTTTCAATCCAGATCTGCTCCAAACTTTTGCAGTTCTTCAATTGATATTTTCAAAATATTAGTACCATTAAGAAAAGCAAAATTAAAATTCAGGATGGTAGCACAATCAAACCTCTTTTTAATTTCTGATATGATTCGGTCAAATACAATCATTATTTCTTTTGAAAATAGTTGAACAGGTTGGAGTGTCTGTAATTCTTCTTCACATATCTCATCGAAATATTTTTTACGTTTCAGAGTTCATTTGTTTTGCACTACTTTGCAAAACAAACGAACTCTGTGTTCTGTGTCTGTCAAAATCACTTTTTTCAGCAATTTCTCCAGCCTCTTTTATCCAATATTCCATTAGATTTTGTCTCATTTTTTTTTGTAAAGTTTTCAACAGACCATTCATTAGTGCAACGAAACGTGCAAGGTTAATATATTTTTTGAATGTATATAGGTATTCACTCGATTGATTTCGCGGAGTATTAAAAGCGAATATTCGCCCAAATAGTTCAATTAAGATTAATTTAAAATTCTTTATAGCAGTTAAAAGATGACCTCGTACTTAGCTTCTGGAGCATGAGAATTTTGCTTAACTTCTTCTAAGACTTCCGCTATTTCTGGCAAATTATTTAATAGGGCATTCACAGCAACATGTTTCGCCGCCTATCTTTCTGACTACTTCTTTTTAAATTTGTTTTACCGTATTTTTTCATAATGTTCCACCTAGTATTGGCTTCCTGGCATGACGAGGCAGAATGAACACCTACAAGATTTAAGGAGTGAGCCAAGCATGGTACAAACTCGGTCAGCTCATTCCTTTTTGCAATCCTGGCTTGTACTACTTTATAGATGCCGGCCATATTGGACACATTATCATAAGATTGGCCACGACATTGTCCAATATCTAAACCATCAACTGCTAATTTTTCTAAAATCTGTTGACAAATTTCCTCCTCTATCTTTCCAGCAACTTCTATGAAATCAATGAAACTTTCTTTTATTCACACACATCGCCAGTTCTTTTTAAATATTGAACCTGACTTATTTGTTCTGTATGCGATACATCTGGAGTGCAGTCGAACATTATCTTGTAGTATTTGGCTTCTTTTACATACATAAACAGTCACGCCTGCCACCCAGAGTAGTAGGCAAAGACTAGTACTACAAATACGACATAGACACGTATCACGGCAGTTGTCCTTTTAAGTTAAACTCAATATTTTTGAGGAAGAGGATGTAGAGGAGCTTATTGAGGAACACGAAGAAGAACTGACAACTGAAGAGCTCCAAGCACTTCTGGTCCAGCAACAGGACAATGCTCAAAGGGAAGCGTCATCTGATAACGAGGAGCAACAATCAAACAATCAACCAATCCCAACTGCTGACATCAAGAACATCCTGGTCAAATGGAAAGCAGTTCAAGAGTACCAATGTTCACTATCCGGATTCAGCTGAAGCAAACAGGATCAACGATCCTTACTCCGATACTCTTGTCCGTTATTTCCGGCAGATGTTGAAGAAAAGAGAAAAACAAGCGACTTTGGACAGGTTTTTCATGAAACCATAGGCCAAAAAGCAGAAAATGGATGAAGATGTGCAAGATTCGGTAGACTCTACTTAGTCTGTCTTAAAATTAAAAAAATGTGTGTTTTAAAAAAAATGTTTTTAGATGTACATATCTAAATAAAAATAATAAAATATCTTTTTTTATGTCATCTTAGCATATTTTATGCTACAGAACGAAATTTCGTTTTTAAAAAGTTTTTCATCTATTTATAACCAGTATGTTCATTTAGCATTCATCAAAGTACACCTTCAGGTCACTCCATAAGTCCAAGACGTATAAGTATATTTATCTATTTATAAATCCTACGTACTTTTAGCGAAACAATATATTGTAATGAAAACATGTGTATAAATATAATAATAATATCTCACCTTGGTCAAGTATGTATTAAATTTAGTTTTTGGAATATTTTGTATTTCTACAGCGATCGCTATTTTTCATCACGAGCCGCTTTAAATAATACAGTACCTAATCCACTCACGAAGGCGGCCGAGCCCCACAGACCACAGACTACTTTCAGATATACAAAAGTTGTATCTGTATTTAGTAAAATATATTATTAGAAGGCAGCGAGAACAACGAAAATTTCAGATTTTCTCAACCGAAAAAAATTAATTATAACTATACAAAATAAAATTAAACAGCCATTTACATTCCATGGCCATTTACATTCTCATAGGATAGATGAATAGATTGAATTGAACAAATGTTATTTTCAAAAATTACCGTGCTACCCCTCCATGCGAACGTGATAAATCTTGATCAACACCATAAGCCACTAAAACCACTATTTTAATGTAAAAATAGCAATTAATGGATTATAAAAAAATAAGTTCAACAATCATTTATCTTTCTGACAATGTTATTTATATATCATTTATATGTTCAATATGATTGTAAGATACGATTACATGCGACAAAACGTTGGATTCTTGATTTTTAAGCGCTAGTAGAACATAAACGTAAGGCATGCAACATTAAAAAATTTACCTACGTTTCTACTGTATCATGAAATACTGTGACTGTGAAAGAAAGTCATATCTTGGAATCTTTTCCATAGAAAATCCTCTTGCCCAGAAGTTAAATAATTCCGAATTAACAAAAAAAATTTCAAGCACATAAGTCAGAAAGCTGGCCATCTAGGCTTTTCATTAAGTTTGTCGTTGGTAGTTCTTTTATCTTTTTTCACAGTGCAGAACAACAGTTTAAATAAAAGTTGTCAAACTAGATTATTAACTCTTATTATGTGAAATAATCTGTACAAGTTACCGCAGCAAGGCAAGCATAGTGGCGTTGTCGATGTCGATCGCAACGGATTAGTGCGAGCAGAATGGACATTTCTTTAACGCGAATAAGCAGAACAACTGCTATGGCAATTGCGACAGAAACAACTGTGCTTGCACAGCATATACACCTGTAGATATTTGATAGGTCTAACACTATTTAAAATCACGAAAAATCAACTGCATAGTATAGGAACACTAAAGTTTTGTATTTAAAGGGGGGCCACTATGAGATCTCGCACCACCTAAAACTTTGCGCTAGGGGCGCCACTGCACATACATACCCGTCGGCAAATTGTATATAAGACCATAAAGTACAATCTATTGGGTTGAATGGTCTAAGAATCTACCACTTTGCCTGACGGCAGAATTGGTGGAGGACCGAAGTACTATGCTCAATTACCTCAATATTGTCTCGCAACAGATAAACAAAGCCCACGTGTAACATCTAATGTCACACCTATGTTTGGAGATATGATATTTGATATTGATGTGTTTAAGAATTTTTAGTTGAAGCCAATATATTTGAGATATGTTTTATATGTGCGCTCATAACTACTGAGTATGTATTGTGTAAAAGATTCAGCTGATAAGTTATAGAGCATTTAACTTAGAAGGGCATGCGATTCTCAAGAATTATAATAATCGCTAAGAATTGCCTTAAATTATTACAAACATATTCTATATTATTTCCAATTGAATTTGTTATCTATAACAAGACCAAGATATTTCTGGGTGTCAGAGGTTTCTATAAGTACGCACATGTAGTCACATGTAGTAGTCAGGCTGTGCAAGCAGTTATGGTTGTGTACCTACAACTATGTTTTTGGCAGAATGGCACTTGATGTGCGGAGATTTGATAACTACTAGTTTTTTTTTAAATATTTGGTACTAAACCGGCATCATGGTATCATCTTAATAGAGAAACTTCATCAGACTTTACGTATAGCGTGACAGGGGTTCGCCTTGGTCTTATTGCTCCGCTTGCTCCAAGCAGTTTCAGTCGCGAGCAGAATTTCGCCCGCCCCCTCCCCCAAAATACTTTTTAATAGCTTGGTCGTGGCTCAGTAGTTCTCCGTCACCAGAGTTGCTGGTGTTGTTAACCCTCCTGGGGCAGTTATTTATTTGATTCCGCTTCCGTGTTAAGGGTGAGGGGAATTGGTAAACCCCTGCTTCATGCTGCACTTACCAAGCGAAACACATAGGTAAACCTCTACTTCACGCTGGTATTCTGTGAGATCGTGGTACTACCCCGGTGCAAGCCGGCCTATCCGTGCGACAGAAAAGGCTCTACCACTATTAAGTCAAGAGGATGGCTGCCATTGTGATCATTGTTGATGATCTTTTCGGCTCGATCTTATAGCAGCTACCCTTTAATCTCTTATTAAAATACTCGTTGGAAGCCTGAAATCATAAATATTTTTTGATAGTTAAATAGTATTTATCATCATCATCATCATTACAGCCCTTCACAAGTCCACTGCTGAACATAGGCCTCCCCCAAGTAATGCCACAAAGCACGGTCCTGAGCCACCTGCATCCATCGACTTCCTGCATGTCTTACCAGGTCGTCACCCATCTAGTGGGGGGCGCCTTACACTACGCCTACCGGTACAAGGCTGCCACTCGAGAACCTTTCTTCCCCATCGGTTATCGGTTCTTCGAGCTATATGGCCGGCCCATTGCCACTTCAGGTTACTAATCCGTTGGGTTATGTCGGTCACTCTGGTTATACTGTGGATATGCTCATTTCTGAGTCTATCACGCAGAGAAATCCCAAGCATAGCCCTCTCCATATCTCGCTCAGCGATCTTGAGCATCGTCATACGGCCAGCAGTGTAGGAACACACCTCACATCCATAAGTCATCACTGGCAACAAGCACTGGCTGTACACTCTCGTTTTCAAGGTTTGAAGTATACCAGACGATTTGTTTTGTGATTTGGTTTAAGTTGATTCGACTTTTTTGGCTATCGTTTTCGGATTCGTGTTGTGTTTTGAATTGGTTTTGTTGTTTTGATTTTAAAAAATATTTAAAAGGAAATTTAATTCCTTTTAGATATTTTAACGTTTTTTTATAAATAGGTTTTTTGTTACTTCATAATGCCTCGCAAACGTAAGTCCAGCCTTTCAAGAGTATCTTCTCAAAGACAAGCGAAAAGATTAGCTATATCCCTAGAATCTTTAGAAGATGCTGAACTGAGAAGGCAAGAAAAAGCAGAGCGTCAGGCTGTTTTTAGAGCATCTGAGACATCTTCTCAACGTCAGCAAAGGCGTCTTGAACAGGCAGAGCGTCAAGCTACTTTAAGAGCTATTGAAACACTCTGCTCAAAGTCAGCAAAGGCTATTCGAACAAGCGGAACGTCAGGCCGACTTAAGAGCAGCGGAAACACCTGATGAAACTCAACACAGACTCATTGAGCAAGCTGAACGTCAATCTACACACACGACACAGGCGCGAAGAGATGCAAATGCACAGCTCCAAGCTGAACGTCGACAAAATTTTCAAAGAAACAATTGGTCGGTTTTTAATGATGCAGCATTCAATTATGATCCGTTGATTGATTATAAAAATCACAGGTTAGGTTTATCGGACTGATGGACAAGGCGTGTCGATTTTGCAGCGCTTTAAAATGGAAAGATGAGACCGCATGCATGTGCTGTTCCAATGGCAAAGTGTCTCTTCCGTTACTTGGGGAACCAGAAGAACCTTTGAAAACTCTCTTTTTATATGATGCTAATGAGTCACGGCGCTTCTTAAACAGGATCCGGAAATATAACTCATGCTTTCAAATGACGTTCTTCGGAGTTGACCGGGAAATAATAATGCCGGGATTTTCGCCTACATTTACGGTGCAAGGGCAAATTTATCATAGAATAGGTTCACTTTTTCCAGCTGAAAACGAACAGCATAAATTTTTACAAGTGTATTTTATGGGTGACGAAGAAATTGAGGTAGACCGTCGCTGCCAATTTATCCAGGGAGTTGAGAGAGACACAATGTTCAAAATTCAAAGATTCTTGCATGAACGTAACATTTTAGTCAAAACATTTAAAACTGCTTTAGAAAACCTACCTGAAGAGGATTATAAAGTCGTCATTCACGCAGATTGGACCCCTCGAGGAGAGCATGAATGGCGCTACAATGCACCTTTGATAAACGAAATAGCAGCCGTAATAAGTGGTGATCAATTTTCTTCACGAGACATTGTCTTGCGAGCACGTGTTGATATGTTGCAACGGGTAGCCGATACACACAAGTTTTATGACGCTCTGCAATACCCATTGATTTATTGCAAAGGACAAGAGGGTTATCATTTTCAAATTCCACTCATTAACCCGGTCACAAAGGAGCCTACTCCGAACAAAAAAGTATGATGTATGGATTTTTATGCGTATCATATGATGTTGCGAGAAAATCACTTTAACCTCTTAGCCCGGTGTAGACAATTATTTCATCAATTTTTGGTATATATATATCAAAAAAAGCTGCGCGTTGAGAATTATATACATTTACAAGATGCAGTTTCTAGCGACGTCAATGTAAACCACAGAGATTTAGGTAAAATGGTAATTCTGCCCTCATCATTCGTTAACAGTCCCCGCTACTAACTGTTAATACAAGACGCATTCGCCTATGTACGAACTTACGGAAGACCTGATCTTTTTGTTACTTTTACTTGCAATCCCGCATGGAAAGAATGAAATAACCGAGGAGCTATTGCCGGGCCAAAAAAGTACTGACAGACACGATTTAGTTGCTAGAATATTTAGATTAAAAGTACAAAAATTAATGTATGTAAATTAACAAAGGGAAAATTTTCGGAGAGGTGCAGTGCTTCATGTATTCAATTGAATGGCAAAAAAGAGGATTACCGCATGCCCACATTCTAATATGGCTTAAAGAGAAGTTGCGGCCCAGCCAAATACACGACATAATAAGCGCCGAGATTCCGGATCCTGAGCAAGATAAAGAATTGTATGATACCATCGTCCGAAATGTGATTCACATTCCATGTGGAGCACGAAATTCAATATCGCCATGTATGAAAGAAGGAAAATGTACAAAGAAATTCCTTAACCAGCACAATGACAATGACTACGCTTTATACAGACGCAGAGCTCCCGAAGATGGTGGCAGGAAATTTACAATCAAATTTCGCTCTGGAGCGTTCGAAACCTTAGAGCTGTTAGCTGGATTGTCCCGTATTCGCCCATTCTATGTAAAATGTTTAATGCCCACATTAATGTAGAAGCATGTAGCTCTGTCCGCGCAATCAAGTATATCTGTAAGTACATAAATAAATGAAGCAACCAAGCAATATTTAATCTCAGGAGTGAAGGTGAGGCAAATCCCGTTAATGAAGTACAGACCTTTCAAGCAGGGCGTTATGTCAGCAGTAACGAGGCAGCGTGGCGTCTCCTTGACTTCCCTTTACACGAAAGGCACCCAACTGTTACTCACCTTGCTGTGCACTTAGAAAATGGAGAGCGTGTATATTTCACGAAAAGAAATTTCCAAGAAAGTATTGCATCACCGCCAAAAACTACACTAACAGCCTTCTTTCAACGTTGTCAAACCGCCCCCTTTGCAAAAACGTTGTTATATTCTGAATTCCCCCGCTATTATACTTGGAACACATCTAGGAAGGAGTGGAAACGCCGAATTCAAGGCGCGCCTGTTGCTAATTGGCCCAGTGTAAAGTCATCAGATGCCCTTGGTCGTGTGTATACCGTCCATGTAACTAATTTTGAATGTTTCTGTTTACGATTGCTGCTGCACCATGTTCGGTGTCCTACAGGATATAAAGACCTTAAAGTTGTCAACGGTCAGGTATGCGCAACTTATAGAGAAGCATGTGAAGCTCTGCATCTTTTAAAAAACGATAATCACTGGGATGAAACCATGGAGGAAGCTGTGCAGTGCCAGTCACCAGCCAAAATTAGGGATCTTTATGCAACTCTCATATCATCTTGCAGGCTATCTAATGCACATGAATTGTGGGACAAATATAAAGAGTACATGGCGGAAGATATTTTGCGAAGGTTACAGCAGACACACGCGAACATGACATACAATGAACACATTTATAATGAAGCACTTGGAAAAATTGAAGATAAAGTAATGCCAATGGTAGGCAAAAAATTAAGTGACTTTGGAATGATAAGCCCTCAGCAAACAACCGAAAAAGAACTAAGTGATGAAATTATACGTGAAACAAACTACGATATACCAGCTTTGCAGCAGCAAGTAGCCGAATTTGTACCCCGCTTGCTTCCCGAACAAAAACGAGTTTTTGACAAAGTATTAGGACAAATTGAATCTGGAAATGGTGCACTTTTCTTTTTAGATGCCCCTGGAGGAACTGGGAAGACATTTTTGTTAAACTTATTATTAGCGCAAGTACGTCAAGATAAAAACATTGCTGTGGCCGTAGCTTCCTACGGTATAGCCGCCACGCTGCTAAGCAGGGGCCGCACTGCGCATTCTGTTTTAAAACTCCCTCTAAATCTAGCCCAGCAAGAATCGCCGATCTGCAACTTTAGCAAAAATAGTGCACGAGGTATAATGCTACGATAATGCAAACTTTTAGTGTGGGACGAAAGTACAATGTCGCATAAAAAAGCTGTACAAGCACTAAATCGAACGCTCCAGGATTTGCGCAGCAATACCGATGTAATGGGAGGAATGGTGGTTTTACTGGCTGGTGACTTTCGCCAAACTTTACCTGTCATTTAAAAGGGCACACCTGCAGATGAAATTAAAGCATGCCTCAAGTCGTATATTTTACGGAACAAAGTGACAAAATTCAGTTTAACTACGAATATGAGAGTGCATTTGTATAATGATATCAATGCTGGAAACTATGCTGACACACTATTAAAAATTGGCGATGGGCGGTTGGAAACGGATGCTGAGGGCTGCGTTAAATTGACGAGAGATTTTTGTAATTTAGTACAGAGTCATTCCGAATTAATTGCGAGCGTTTATTCAGATTTAACGAACAACATGCATGAAGACAAATGGTTATGTGAAAGGGCGATTCTTGCACCAAAAAATGAGAGCGTCAGTAAAATGAATTCAGATATATTAAGCGAAGTAGCAGGAGAAATAACAGAGTATTTGTCAGTAGAAACAGTTATGGACACACAACAGAGCACTTCATATCTCGCAGAGTTTCTAAATTCTCTAGAGTTTTCAGGTGTGCCCTCACATAAGCTTCAATTAAAATTAGGCGTCCCAGACATGCTAATGCGAAATTTAGATGCTCCTCGGTTATGTAACGGGACAAGGCTCCGGGTGACACATCTTGGACGGAACATAATCGGTGCTACAATTGACAGGCGTAGGAAAAGGTGAAAATGTTATTATACCAGGGATCGATATAATTCCCACAGATCTTCCTTTTCAATTCAAAAGGTTGCAGTTCCCTACTAAGCTCAGTTTTGCAATGACAATTAATAAAGCGCCAGGCGCAAACGTTACAGGTAGCGGGGGTCAACTTAGAAAAACCGTGCTTCTCTCATGGTCAGCTGTATGTAGCATGTTCGCGTGTGTTAAATGATCAAAATCTCCACATTCTTTTCCTGAATGGAAAACAATTATAACATTGTGTACAGTAGCGTCTTAAAATAGTGTTTAGTTAGATTTTTTCCAAAATTCCCACCATCAATTAATCAGAATTCCCACAGATCTTCCCTTTCAATTCGAAATTTCCTATTTAGCTCAGTTTCTTTTCAATTCCAAATGCTGCACCTCTGAATGACCTATTAAGCTCAGTTTCCTTTCAACTCAAAAAGCTGCATCTCTGAGGGATCTTTTATTTGGCTCAGTTTCCTTTCAATTCAGAAAACTGCATCTCTGACGAATCAATTTAGCTCAGTTTATTTTCAAAATCGCTGACGGATAATTATGTTCAGTTTCCTTTAATTAAAAAAAATATCCCATTTCCATTTGGAATAAACAGGCTATTTTCATGATTTCCTGTTGCTATTGCTATTATCACCATTTAATTACACCGGACGGCATTTTGTAGGCAAATTTACTGCATGACGCCCCTTGAAGTACTGACGAAAATGAGCGTAGTTTGACAATTCACTTTGGCACTTCACAGAAGACAATCTTCATATTATGAAAAACCGTATAAGGCTGTTGGATTCCGCTATACCATCTCTATACCTGCCAGTTTTAGTATGGACTTTTAATTTGTTTTTATTTTAGTACTAATGTAGATTACATAATAAGTAATAGCATTAAGTGGTTGATTGAAACGTGAAATTCTAATATTTAGGCGAATGTTACACGTCGAAATTAAACTTTTTTTTTATAGAATTATTAACCATAAAACAAGTGAAACTTATAATCTAGTATATATGTTATTCTAGTGTTACATGAACTTCGGTAATATCCTATTATTATTATTAAGTACATCTAAATTTGAAACACGTACCGTATAGTTTTTTTTTAAATTATTAATACTACTTTTAGGTGCAACACTTGGAAAAAATACTGTCACCACCGAAAGGACATACCAGAGCACACACAAAGGATTCACACCATTTTGTTAGTGAGATAAAGGACCTACATTTCGCTGACAATGAAACTATGGTCAGTTTTGGTTTTCAGTCGCTTTTCACATGCCTACCTATTGAAGACTGCTTCTCAATTGTAATTAGGAAGCTACAAGATAACAACATGCCTGCAGAATATGCAGTATTACTCAAACACTCCTTCACATCTGACTATCTATTGTAGAAGAAAGAGTTCTATAAGCAAGTTGACGGTGTGGCGATGGGCTTACCTGTATTTTCTATAGTTGCCGACATATATCATGGAGGACTTTGACGAGAAACCTTTCTTTATGCTCCTATAAATCCAAGATTCTACAAGCGATACGTAGATGACACTTTCACATTTTACCATCTGACAAAGCAACTGCATTTTTAGACCACCTTAACTCCATAAACTTTAAAATACAAATCACGATGGAGTCAGAAGCAAATAATACTTTAGCTTTCCTAGATGTTTAGTCAGCCGAAATCCTGATAACACTATTGGTCATACTATGTATAGGAAAAAGGCTTATTTTAAGCAATTTTAAAGGTTCTTCATAGTTTGCTACTGTGGGTAAATATTTGTTTCAGAGAGCACAAGGGATCTGTGTCAGAATACATCTGGCCGCCGTGCTTCAGCATGTCAAGCATGTATTGCAAGATAACAAGATTTGGGTCCCAAGCCTACGTCACAGCGACCGAGTGATGCCGGCCACAGTCGGTGGATGGTGCTGCCATCTGCTTGGGATCCTATAATTAACAAAATCTATCCAAACCCAAGCATACCACTGCAAAACTTCAAGATACTGTAAGCTCGTTTTGTGTAGATCGGGACCAAAAATCAATATTCAAAAACTAAAGATAGCCGGGCTAACTATGATATTGAGATGTCAAACATCTCAGTCCCCCCCCCCCCCGTGACCATAAGTAATTCAACGCGATAAAATCCATATAATTATATAGTTTTAATCAATGTGTAGTGTTCGCGTAAATTTAAGAAATCATTAGATTACATGTATTAATATATATTCTTTTATTTATACACACACATATATTTTTATATATTTTTTAAAAAATTTCAAATAAAAATTGGTCTTGGTGAAATCGAAACAGAACAAATATTTCATGATGCGGTATCTATTGGGAGGTAATTTGTGGGTAAGAGTAAGAAATAAAGTTCGCTGCAGCGCTAAAATAATAGTTACGTCATCTTACCAAACTATTAAAAACATACAGCGCTAGTTTGCATTAGGGGTTAGTTTTCTCGCGACCAAAACGTCATAAGCACCAGGGATTTTATGGTGCTTACGTGTATCGTTCAACGTAGTGTACAACACGTCGCCCCCATAGATTTTACTCCTGAGCATAGTAACAACGCTAAAATCTTTAAATCAAAGAGTTTTAAACGCTTTAATATCTCCTTACCGATGACATATTAAACTCTCACTTTTTTTGATGTTCTGGAGTGTTTACTGCAGTCTTTAAGAACACAACCAGGTATTTTAAAGTTGTTGTTTATGTGAAGCGAACACGACTCATCTGTGCGGGCGTTGGACATTCACTAAACAGTTGCGGTACAGTGTACCGCAAAGCGTGGAGTAAAATCATGCAAGGCATTGTCTTCTCTATGCGTAGTAGTAATACCTCAATGTAACCACAATCCAACCGCGACGACGTAGCTTTGAAATTACTAAACTTTTTAAATAATCATATATCTATCTCACTTACACAAGTTGCGAAAACCATAGATTTAGTTTTATACTAAATCTTTTAAATTTGATTTACAATATTATACACTTACACTTTTTTAGTATTCTTAAAGTTGTTATTTATTTTATTAATATAATACGGGTTCCTTTTAATTTCTAATATTTTGTGTACTTTACTTCTTTTCCCTAAGCTAAATAGCTTATCACGTTTGTTCTCGTTTGTTACAAAGTCGAGTAACATTTTCATCGATCCAAGGAAGTCTAAATTTGAGTTTGTTATTTTTTTTCTCTCTATGATAACAGGTTTTATAAGAACTGGCAATCTTCTTTGCGTTTTTGAATGAATTATGAATGAAGTCAAAAATATAATTTGGGGAATTGATATCTTTTGTCGGTAACCAATTTATTCTTTTAAATTCTTGCTTCAGTATGTCAAATTAATTATTTGTTTTGTAACTGTTTATAAATTATGCTTAGGCTCTGCTTTATCGCTGCAGGTAAAAATAATGGCCGTGCAAAAATATGATCAATACAAGTTTTAGTCACAATATTTGGATGTGTCTCGATTTTTGTAATATTAATAAATTAACTATCACCAATTATTCTCAAACAATTTATTGATATTATGTAATTTTTTATTGGTATTATATAATACGAGGGGATGTCAAAAAGTTCACGGAATGGCGGGGTTGGCGAGGGTGAGTTTATTCATCCAGGTAGGCACTAACTGAGTGAAGCATTGTTAGCATAATATATACAAAATTTCAGCCTAATCGGGTTATTAGCTTTTGAGTTTTGACTACGGAGAAAATTGAATATCGCGCCGTCATTAAGTTTCTCACCAAACAAGGAAAGATACCTCAAACCATTTTTCAAGAAATGTCATCTGTTTATGAGGACTCCGCTCCCGGGAAAATCATAATTTATAAAAAAAACGCCCTTTTCAAACAAGGGAGGGACTCCATTGAAGACAACCCTCGACCTGGACGGCCGATTGAGGCTACAAATAAACAATCGAAAAAGTAGAAAACCTTGTATCGGAAGATGCCCGGCTAAAAAAAACTGCCTACAGTATCAGAAACAACCATTTAAAACATCCTACATGGCACCTACCTTGGCATGACTAAAGTCTTTGCAAGATAAGTTCCGAGAATGCTTTCTGCGCATTAAAAACACGAGCGCATTGAAAGTTGTCGCGAGTTTTTGGACTGATGTGGAGAGTAAAGGGAGGAAGTTATGGCCCGAATTGTAACTAGCGAAAAAACATGGGTTCACCATTATGAACCGTAGTCAAAGCAAGAGTCAATGTAGTGACATAAAAAATCACACCCACTTCTAAGAAGTATAAGATGTCTTAATCGACACAGAAGGTATCCTTTTGATTGACTATAAGGAAAGTGGTGTTTCCATAACGGGAGAATACTACGCTTCTTTACTAGATCAATTAAAAGAAGCTATTAAAGAAAAAATGTGAGAAAACGTGAACACAAGCCCTGTTGCGACGGCTGCCGTTCACCGGTGCTGTTTTGAAGAACCACGCCACCCACCTTACAGCTTCAAGCGACTATTATTTGTTTCCAAAAATGAAGAAAGAGTTTTGTCGGAAAAAAATTGGCGAAGATGATGAAGCGAAGTCGGCAATTTCAGTCTATTTTGACGCCCACTATAGTTCATAAAAGATAGCTTGATCTATGCGACAGCTGTCAGTAAAAATCACGCCTATGAAGTCCTGAATTTCTTAGTAGTACAGACAGTATCTGTTAATGTCATACTTTATGGGCATGCACTAATTAGGTCGGCATGCCCATAAAGTATGTCATTGACAGGTACTGTCTGTACGTGTCTGTACCACTAAGAAATTCAGGCCTTCATAGGCGTGATTTTACTGACAGCTGTCGCAGAGATCAAGCTATCTTTTATGAACTATAGTTAAACACAACTCGATTTTTTTTTTAAATAACTATATGGCCCTTGGTATTGTGATAATGTCACAATAATACTGCCAATGTCCGGTAAGTACGTGTTAACCATTCCTTATTTGTATTTAATATTTCATCATTTTTTTTCTTCACAATATGCTGATGCGTCACATTGCGAAGCCCTTGGGAGATTTTGACGACAGCTCAACCTAGCGGATAGTTGATGACGACAGCCACTCAAGTTCATGAGGCGCCCAAGCGATCAAAATAACCTGAGGTTTATATCGACATCAAAGCACTTGTTTCGTCGTTTTCTCTAATAGTTCACACGCGCGGACACTTAATTCACAAAATCGCATCACTTTTACGAATCAAAATCCACTTCAAACCATTATTCAAGCGACAAAACAGGAGCGACAATCCGTCTACGGCCAAGTTCCCGCCAAAACCACACAACTAGCTTGCTACATATTTATTTATCTATGCACACAACTCGATTTTAACTGAATAAGTAAATTGAGTTGACACATCACCGATTGGCACTGACATAATTATGTCTCCGGTCCATGTATATCAGTGTTTCCACTTTTAGGAATTTTTCCCTTTTTTAGGGAAAACTAAGTAAAATTGTGCATGACGGGATTACTTCAATAATACAGGGGTTTAGGGAAATTCGGGGAAAAATCAAAACTTATGATGGTAACCCTGTTGGAGTATGTACAAACTCTATGGTGCTACCGCCCGCGGTTTATTTTTGAAAGGGGAACCCCCGTACTATTAATGATTTATTTTTATTTTTATAGAATAGGCTGACAAACGAGCACACAGTCCACCTGATGGTAAGTGGTTGCTGCGGCCCATAGACATCTACATCTATCTTCCATTACAAATCAAAATGCAGTTGCGTTGTCACCCGTGAGGACTGAGATGGAATGCCTCATTTTCAGTAAAAAGGGTCTCCGGTTCTCTACACTCACCATACGAAATACAGCAGCATTAAGCTACTATTTCACGCTGGTATTCTGTGAGAACGTGGTCCTTCCCCGGTCGAGCCGACCCATTCGTGCAACAACTATACTACTAATATAACTGCAGCATGGCTCTACCACGTAGTAAAATGAATGTAATCCGTACAATTTTAATTTGTCATTTATATAATCAGTTCTGTTGTTTTAGGTGTAGTCAGAACTTAGTCATATTATGTATACCTATCAAGGCTTGCTTGATTTGATTAGTTTTATTTCATTTACATACTGCACTCCGAATTGCGCCTCGGAATACAAAAAATATTGAATTTTTCTTTTGGATTAAATTGTAAATAGTTTAAAATGGAAGAAGATAATGAAACACCATCCTCTTCGACTTTAAATTCAGCATGTAAAGAAAGAAAATACGTGCAAAAATTTAAAACATCTTGGCTGTAGCATCATGATTTAAAGTTTTGGCTGAAGAAATCTGATAAAGGTGAGACAAACGCTTACTGTAAAATATGCGATTGTGATCTTGTATGTGGAATGTCCGAGTTACTTAAACATAAAAACAGTGCCAAACACACCAAAAAGGTGGCTGTTATTTCGCAATGTGGAAAGATGTCAACTTTTTTGAACAAAAATCAGACGCACGCTACTAATGTATTAAAAATGGAATTAAAAATGTGCGGCTTTCTTGCGAAACACGATCTACCAATTTCTTTAGTAGATGATTTTGTACCGCTGTTACGAAACTTGTTTTCGGAATCGAAACGTTTAGAAGACGTGCACCTAGGAAAACAAAAAGCAACAAATATTTTACGTCAAGTCACAGGAGCGACATATAAACAAGAAGTGATTGATAGCATGAAGAATAGTTTTTTTATATAATAATAGATGGAACAACAGATCTGTCTGTGAAAACACATTTGGCTGTTATTATAAAAAAATTTAATATTTTGACAAAAAAAGTGGAATGCAGATTTTTTGATATGATAGATATGATTGATGGAACGGCAAAAGGTATCCTCCAAACAATAAAAGGAAGTTTTTCGAAACATGAAATACCTCTTGATCATGTCTTCGGACTTACATCAGATACGATGAACGTAATGATGGGAAAGCACAATTCAGTTCAGGCTTAACTAAAAACTGAAATTCACATCTGGTCGTTATAGAGTTCTTATGCCATTTAATACATCTCGCGACATCATATGCCTCCCGTAAACTTCCTAAAAATTTAGAATTTTTTTTCCGTAATATACCTGCATATTTTCATATGAACCCTAAGCGAACAGAATCACTTAAACAGTTTCAAGATTTTCTAAAAATTGACCAACATAAATTACTTTCTGCAGCAAACACAAGATGGTTGTTACTTCAAGCTTGTGTCAGCAGGATATTAGAGCCGTATGATCTGATGATATTGAATTCATTTTTACGGAGTTAGTTTTTGAAGATCCCTCTAATACTAATGATTCTATTTTTAACAGTCTTAACAACCCAATTAATAAAACATTATTACACTTCATGAGTAACGTCTTCTCTATAACTAACGATTTTAATACCTTTTTTCAAACAAAATCACCACAATTATTTATATTGCCGGAGATGGTTCGGAAAATGTTGAACACTTTTTTATGCAACTTTGTCAAAAAAGGAGAACTTGAGTCTGAGCTCGGAACTAAAGAGCCTTAAGCAAATTGACGTCATTAAAACAGAAATTCATCTCAATAATGATCATATACACTTTGTTATGGAAGTACATGCGATAGTTGAAGATTTAAAGACAAAAGCCCCAATAGAAGTAAACAAATTTTATGCTAGTTGTCGTGTATTTTATGTGGAAATAGTATTGCAAATCCAAAAGCGGTTCGACTTGAATGAGAAACTTTTTGACTTATTGAAGTATGTGGATCCAAAAGTAGCGATAAATTTAACTTTTTAACGACAAAAAGCAACATGTAAAAAGCAGATAACGAATGGAGAAATCAAGCTCTTATAGACTTAAAGCATTTTGGAGTTGAAAGCGAAGAAGAATTAAAAAAAACATGCCAGCTGATATTTATTGAAATAAGGTTCTAAGCATGAAAGTTATCATGGTGATTTTATAGTAATTTTAGTATTAAGTAGTTATTTCAGTTTTACTAGCAGTTCCATCTTCAAATACTGAGGTAGAAAGATTATTTAGAATTCTAAAAAAAAGTAAAAACAGACAAAAGAAATAGAATTTGTAACGAAACTCTGAACGGCTTGTTTCATACAAAGTTTGGAATGCAAGCAAACAATTGCTCAATTTTAGAATCCAACAGTGCCATGATAATGCAGCAAAACATTACAAAAGTAATGCTTCAGCTTCTAAATCTTCTGTCTGATCTAGTTTTTGGTAATTGATCTTTCATAATAATAAATTATTGTTTTATTTCTCGAACAAAAATATGCTCTTTAAAAATAAGAATTTTTAAGATCGTTTAGGGAATTTTAGGGATAAATCCTAAAACAATAGGGACAAAACAAAATTGTAAGTGGAAGCACTGGCTGTGTATATACAGTGTTGTCACCTTAGTGGATTTTCCACTAAATCTGGTGGTTTGGAACCCCCCTTTTAGTGGAAAATTTTTGCTTTTAGTGGCTAGTGGTTTTTTTAGCGGATTAGGAATTTTATCATAAATTATAAGAAACGAGTCGTTTCATATAAATAGTCGTTTCAAACGTCTATTTAGCCATATTTTATACTTTCAAAATATAAACCTATATATTTTTAGGAGTATATTTTACTACGCAGGCAACACCAATTCATTTCCATAGAGATTGGATTGGAAAGCATTCACGCGGGTTCCCCGTTAAATATATTTAGTATAAGGCGACTAATAAAAAACGATGAAATGCAAGGGCGAGATCTATCTGTATCTCGCTCTCCGGAATACTAAATAGTTGAGAGGGATATAATTTCTGCTTTCTATTCTATTTGACAGCATTTTACAATACTTATTCCAATGTTTTTGAACTCGGTCGGTTGTTTGTTTTTGTTTCGTTTTGCGATTACACATTTTTAAATGAAAATACATACGACGCTATGCCGAAACCTCAATATTCCCAAAAATTTAGGGATTCTTGGCTTCAAGATCCCGATTTAAAAGAATGGCTCCAAGCAGTTGAAAGTACCACTGGCCAAGTAGCAAAATGCATGTTTTGTGGAACGATATTAAGAAGTTACTACGGAGATTTAAAAACATGCTATTTCGTAAAAGCACCAACAATATAGAAAGGTAAATTATAGCTTTGTCTTTGTTTTTTATAACGGTTCGAACTTGGTCAATTAATGAGGTTGCATTTAAATTTTTCTTATATATTTCCTTATTTGTTTGTAGGTTAGCACCAAACAACCTAAGCTGACATTCAAAAAGGAGTCTACTGATAATAAAAAGAAAGATGAAGCCAGAGTTGCATTATTTACAGCAATGCGTACAAGTATACGAACAGTTGATCATTTAGGAGAAGTTATTAACTATAGCCATGAAAAAGAAATAAATAAAATGCAGATGCACTGAACTAAGTGCACGTATGTAATAAAAAATATTTTAGCGTCTCATTTTACAGAACTTATAAAAAACGACATTAAAGATCAACCATACAGTTTATTAATAGATTAATCTACAGATATTGCTGTACAAAAATATTTGGGTTTAGTTATAATTTATTACAGCACTACACATGAAAAAATAGTTACAACTTATTTAGACCTTGCTGAACTCGACGCATGTAATGCTGAAAGTATTGTTTCTGCCATAAAGCGGACGCTTAAACATTTCGACTTGCGAATTGAAAACTTAATGGGTATTGGTACAGATAATGCTTCGGTGATGGTTGACGTAAATAATGGAGTTTTTGCCCGATTGAAACAAGAAATACCGCACTTAGTTTTGGTACGTTGTTTATGCCACTCCTTGCAACTGGCTGTTTCAGCAGCAGCAAAGGAATTTTTTCCGCGAAATCTTGAATTTTTAATTAGAGAGACATATGATTGGTTTGCTCGCTCGTCTTCCAGACAAGTTATCTATAAAGAGCTATACAAATCCATCAACGATGGACAGAAGCCTCTTAAAATTGTTCAAGCCTGTCAGACTAGATGGTTATCCATAGAGGCTGCTGTGTCGAGAATTGATACGCAATGGCTGGAGCTTAAAACTCATTTTTCGATTGCTAAGTTGCACGAAATGTGCCACACGTCAGAGCTATTGCACTCTATGTATGCGAATGATATAAACTATGCATATGTATCATTTATTTATCCAATTTTGATTGATATAAACAGAGTTAATAAAATGTTTGAGTCATAAAATATGGACCACACCTTATTGTGGGGTGAATTAACAAACTTGATTGATACGCTTGTCACCAAAGTAACGTTGCCTACACATAAGATAGATATCTTTACTCAAAATATTCGTGACTATTTGGACCAAAGATGTTACCTGGGATTCCGATTCGAAAAACAGATTCTAGAAATGAAAAAAAGGTTTTCCACGAGAAGAGGAAGAAGTATTGCGGAATAGGTGCATACAGTTTATAGTTTGTCTGATTGACGAAATAAAAAACAGATTGCCGGAAAATATTACTCTCATGAAACAAATATCCCGTATAAGTGTCGAAAAAGCCCTGCATCACAACAAAGAAAATCTGGTTGATATAATGGCTCGGTTCGTAACAAGTACAGAATTAATTGCAAAAATTGACGATCAATGGCAGCAAATTCATTTACTGAGATCGAATGAAACAAAAGATACAAAAAAATTTTGGAGCGAAGTCTTGAAATTCAAAGATGCACAAGGTGTTGCTCGATTTCAAGAATTAGCAACATTTGCGATTACACTTTTGGTATTGCCACATTCGAATGCCGATATGAAAAGACTTTTTAGTAGCATGAATATTATAAAAAACAAGCAGCGAAACAGAATGAAGCTAACTCTTTTGAAATCAATTCTAAAAATACGCTGCGGTATGCAGTTAATGGGAAAGTGCTGCAACAATTATGAAATTCCTTTAAATCTTATAAAACAAATTGGGACGAAGGAGTCATATCATTCTGATAAGGATAACAGTAAGGCTGAAAATGAAAATGCAGATTAATCTGAAGACGATTTATTAATGTAAATAATATCTTAAGCAACTTGATTTTTTTAATTACTAAAAGTAAAAAAAAATATATTAACAACAATAAGATTTTTAATAATAAACGTACTTTTACTTTTTTTTATTTGCTTTAATCATATTCATATATCTTAGTGGAAATTTTTGTGGTTTTCAGAGGGGGACATCTTTTTGTTAGTGATTTTCTGTTGGTTTGAGGAGCCTTGTCTGGCGGATTGCTATTTCATCCGTTGGCAACACTGAGTATATATGCAGGAGGTGCAATAGTCTATGGTTGTGCAGTCAAAGTCCAGTCCAACTATAAACCTTTATTTATTTTATTATTATAGCTAGCTACCTATGCTATAGTCTTGTATATACAAATTATATGTTGTTGAAGTTTTTAAAAACTTTAATTAATTCTGTGTAGTCGATCATTTACAGCAATGCTTTTATTCAATAAGTCAATGAACTGTGGTGTATTACCGGCTTATTTCAAATTTCGTAGAAACTTTACGAACAGACAAACAAGTATTAGGAATGTCGAATACCAATATTTACAAAGAAGCAAGGTACCTACTATGCATTTCCAGAAGTCTTTACCACGTCTGCCTATTCCCGAAATCTCGAAGACAGGTGAAAGGTACTTAAAAGCATTGAGACCTTTGTTAACTGATGATCAATACACGGAAGCTCAGAAAAGGACATGTGAATTCATAAGTAAAGAAGGGAAAATATTGCAAGAAAAACTTGTATCTAAGGACAAAGCTAATAAGCATACAAGTTATATATCAGAGTACTGGTTCGACCTTTATCTCAGAGATCGCGTAGCTCTTCCTATCAACTATAACCCTCTTTTAGTATTCCAAAATGATACTAAACCAGAATATAACAACCAACTTGTAAGAGCAACTAATTTATTGATAAGTGCAACAAGGTTCATGAATTCATTGAGAGAAAATATTTTGGAGCCTGAGGTTTATCATTTACAACCAAAGAAAAGCAATACTAATTTGTTTAGGAGTGTGACACGTTCTTTGCCAGAAGCTTTGTCATGGTTTGTATACCATTATTTTTTTAAAGAATTTACATTAATATGTTGATGGACAGTACAAGTATTACTTCCCAAATGACACTACTTATTCTCATACATTTCCTATGGGCGTAATGTCAATGCAGTTGTGCATAAAATGTTGTTGAGTGAAAGTACGCCTATAGGCGCTTATGTCTATGTGCGTACTGATATGTTCAATCTAAAGAAAACTATGCATAGGGACTATATGCCTATAACCGTAAACTTGATTATACAGGTAATAGTAATAAAAGCAGTATTTGTTATATACATTTGTTTAATAATAATCACAAATGTAATCGGCCTCTTTAATAAGTAAAAAGTTGCTAGTATAATCAACTTTTTATCTTACCTTTGTTGAAATTCAAATAAAACATTAACATAAACATACATCCAAAGTTAGAAGAGTTCCTTCTAACTTTGGATGTATGTTTACCACTAGATATTATGATAGTAATCACAGCAACATTTTACTAACAATCTTATTTTAGTAATAACTTGAACACAATACTATAAGGCACCTTAAGATTAATTTTAATTCAAATTTACTTATGTAATCAGTCTTTTTTAAATTCCGAAATTAAATTATCACAATTGTAGTCTGCCAACATCATTTAAGAAGCAATATAAAGACAAAATCTGGCCTTAATGTTAATGATATTTTCTTATAAGTTAAAACTTATTTAAATCAACTCGTTACAATATAATTTAATCATCATCAGGATTTAGTAAACTTGCATGATGTGGTTCAAAGCAAGATGGGCAAAGAGGAGGTTTATCGGGATAGCCTTTGCAACGGTAACTTGTTTCCTTTCATATCTTTTTTTTGTGTACAAAATTAGCATTTCATAAATGCAAATTTATTTTTGTAGTTCCAGGTAATGCAGGCATTTGTTCTGGCCAGTGACCTTGCATTACACTCTCATCATTTTGAGTATGTTAGTAGTGCATGTCGTCGTGGGTTGGAATCGCCTGTTATTGTAAATACTGGATGTGTTTATCAAGTCGCTTACCTTCAATCATTTCCTGTATCAGTTCTTCTCAGTAGTTTATGTACAAGTACAAGCAAGAATTATTTTTTTATATTTTCTATAAAGAAAAAAGGTGTTCCACACTGCAATGTCCATCATGTGAAATATTACTTTCTTGTACCATCTGATGGTTTTTCAGGGACAAGGATAGTATAATACCATCTGATCACAACAATCAATGCCAGACATGTTTCTGTTATACTTATGTATCAACTTCAGCAGGCTTTAAATGGGATTTGCCAAATCTGTTTGAAACTTCCATGATTGAGGGATGAACTTTAGTGGTAACCATCAGGACAGGGCGTTTATCTTTCCAATTGAAAACATATACAAATTATAAATTCTGTAAGTTACAAGAATTGAATTTAAATGTTTCGATAAATAAAAGCACAAAAATATGTTGATAACTTACCAATGGAGCTATTATATGCGCGCGAAAGTATGAGGTGACACGAAGCCTACCGCCGACCCCACTACGTGACTAAATGTATGAAAACACGACGCCCATGGGTGTACTGTGCGGGTTGAGGTGTACCGGAATTTTGTCAATGTGTGTGTACTTAGACGTGTTGTAGAACTATGTATGATGACAGTGGGAAAGCCGCATTACTTTTGCGGTGACACTACAACATGTTCTTCCTTGTAAAAGTATTGAAAATCAAATGCCCTCAGATATACTGTCATGACATGTGTAAAAACTATGACATCTATAGGCATTCTGTCATATCATTCTTTACTACCTGAATGCCCGTGGACGTTACTGTCCACCAATGTGTAAATTTAAAAATTGACTAAAAAGTTTTTGGTAACTTTCAGGTATGGTGCATATTTATTCAAAGCCTTTCCATTAGACATGAGCCAGTTTAGTGGGCTCTTTGGGGCAACTCGAATACCATTGCCAAATAAAGATAAGATTTACAGGGATCCAAGTAGTAAACATGTTCTAGTTCAGAGAAATGGCAATTTTTACATTTTTGATGTCTTGGATGCAGATGGTAACCATTTTTTGTTTTAAAGTTAATTCATAATCCTTTGTCTACATTATAAGTATATTGAGAGCTCCAAATCTTTATAGATATTTAACCATGACAAATTTACATATACATCCTACTACTATATAATATCTGAAAAGTGGCTTATTTCTGTTTTGATCACAGAACATATATACCCTGGTTTTGATAGACCAAAAAGTATTCTTACTATAAGACTTTTTGATAATCTCCATCTTTAAAATTGTATTTTAAGGGTGTAAATTATCTGGTGGTAATTCTATTTATTCTAATAATAAATTAGTCAAATATCTGTTTTCATTTATTCAACTATAATATATTTATGTGTAAAGAGAAAATGTTGTACTCATTTTAAAGCATATTGCACATAGAGTGTGAGATTCAGCATAGTTATAGTTTATATTGAGAAAGAGTGCAGAAAGCTAAAATTTATTTATATGTGATACAAATTCATGAAATAAATTAAAACATAAATTGTTTACATTCATACTGCTAATGTCAAACACATAATTCTTGTGTCTTGGACACTTAAATAAAACTAGTTTTTACGGATTTTATTGTGTATATTAACTTATTTTATATTCCATATTTATATTTTTGAGCACTTTACAGCACCCGTGGTCACGGGGGAACTGAGGTGTTTGAGATTCCAAAATTAATATAATAATAAATTCATTGATTTTTGGTCCAATCTACGCAGTATGAAAATATAGTATGTGCCAAATCGATTGAGAAAAACGGACAATCACCTCAGATATGAGCCGAGTGTCAAAAGGCGTAACTTACAAAATACACACTTCTAGGTCAGCACATATTTTTTGTATCTTAAATAATATTGTCTGTGGTTCCTATAAACATCGTAAAATATTACGGTACATCGCGAAAAATGTGTTATATTTTATATTTCAATTTATGGTAAGTAACACAACAATTAATTTAATAACAGTTTCATATTAAAAAAAATATTTGAAGCAATATAATCACTATATTGCGCTTTTGCAAATTCATCCTCTTAAAATAAACAAAACGCGCGTTACGTCAGTTCGTTCTAAAAGAAATATGACAATGGCAGCCAAAGATGTCACCTTTTTTGTTTTTGGTTTAACTCAAATCACGTCAGATAAATGGAAAAACTGTGTTCAGCATGTCCTTAAAGTTGAACAAAAAATGCGTGGCTTGGATGATAGAATTGACCAAACTGCAGATCGCTTTATAATTAATGTGACGGTTCCGTGGCGCAGTGGCTTAGCAATGAGTTACAGCGCTAAGGGCCGCGGGTTAGAATTCCGCACGGAACAAGTATTTGTATGGCCCACAGTTAGTTGTTCCGGGTCTGGATGTTTATCCTGGTGAAATTTATGTTTGTAAACTTCCCCCACGATACAGGAGAAAATCCTAGTGTGGAGGTAACGTTTTTTAAAACAGAAAAAAAATGTTACAGACAGTTCATCTGAATACACATCAAGTGAAGATACGAGTGATGATTGCACCGAATAAAAATAAAGTTTTTATATAATATTGAAAACAAAGTTTTATCTTTTGAATAAGTATGTACTTATTCGGTGTCGTTATAATCTTTATATGTGTTATAAATTAATGATTTTTGTTGTTAAATGAATAATGTACTTTATAACAATAGATGATTTTTCTTCTACAGTGATCTTTTATATAACTTTTTAATAATAGTTGATAAATATATATTATATCAATCATTATAAATAATAATAATAAAAAATCATTATAAATAAAGAAAGTACTACTTATAAAATTTGCCTATATATTGAAGGTTTGTAACCCCTGGTTAAACGACCGAAACATCATTGTCTGTTTTTCTGAATCGATTTGGCACATACTATAGTATCTTGAACTATTGCAGCTGTATTCTTGGGTTGGGATTTAATTTCATTGATTGCAGGGCCCAAGTAGATGGTAGTACCCAGCCATATTCTTTATTGAAATTAGGACGTATTTTGATTTCAATAGCCTTGTGAAAAATTTTGGGAAGAATATGTGTTCTTCAACGACAATTTATGGTCCAACAAATCTGATGTATTGGTGGGGGCAATACTGTATGTGTCCACGGACTACAGACTTCCTGGAGTGTCAATTCTCCACAGCAGCTATGTGTTCTTTTATGCAAGTTTTTATTGGTCTTTTAGTTGGTCCTACGTAAGAGAGACCACATTCGCAATCAAGCTTGTACACTCGTGCATCTTGCACACTCGTGCATCTTGCACACTTGTGCATCTTGCACAGGGATATTGCACTTGACTGTTGATAAAATCTGTCTAATCTTTTTTGGCGGCTTGAAGTGTGTTCTAATGGATGCATACTTCAAGGGGTATGTTCCGAAATACAACTCAGTACACTGGCAAATGCAAATGACGTCATCAATTGACACTATATTGTACTGGCGTGCCGCCGCCATACTGCGTCGGATATCCGGCCACAATAAAACAGTTTTTAATTGTGTGTGCGCTGAATGAAGCATGGTAGAATTTGTTTTTATTTATTCAAATACAAAAAATGATAGAATAATTGCTGGTATCTTCATTATAATGATTTTTGGAGCACAAAATGACAAAATAATCGCCAACACTTTTCCAATATGTCGTAAATGTATGACGTCATATACTGTCCTATGTTTTTAACGAATCACCAGTATAGCGTCGATTCATGACGTCATTCGCATTCGACAGTGTACTTGGTTGTATTTCGGAACATACCCAAGGTGTAGCTAATCTTGTTAGTGACATCGCCGACATATGGCAGAGTATGGTGCCACTCAAGCTAATACTGTGGTTGCGTTCTGCAGGCTTCCAATATATAATATATGCCACTGTAGGTCGATCAATTGGGATATTATTCAGTGTTTTTTGTATCCTACTTACATCTGCATAACCTATTGTGTAGAAGTGATTTGCATTTATTATGCTGACGAGTTCATTTATGACTATATTCTTTTTTCAGGAGAGGTGAAAAAACCTCACCCTGCGGACAACTTATCTTTATTTGGACTGTTTGAGATTCACCAGCAATCTTTATTGAGCGTGTACTGAGCATGATTACTAATCAGTTGCAGTTCAACCCTAAGTCTACTGAATGCAACTTTTCTGCTGGAAAAGTTTGTTTTCTCATAAGCACCTTCTATATCTATGAATGATCCTAGACATATTTCTTTGTTTTGGATGGCTTCTTCAATCCTTGTTATTTTTTTGTGAAGTGCCGATTCTGTCGATTTGCCTAAGCTGTAGGCGTGTTGCTTATTGTGTAGCGGTATGCTTATTAGCGCCGACCCCATTAAATACCTTTCACACACCCTCTTCATCGTCTCTATCTTAGAACAGTACCCTGCAGCCTCGCCTTCTATTTGAGCTGAATTTTTAGGCTTCCCAGTTTTAGCGCGGTTACTTGTTCTAGCCCCAAGCTCCACAGTAACGATAGCTTGCCCGGCCCTTTGGTGTGGCTTTTAGAAGCAGCCGGTGTAGCCCTTTCTTACGGCCTTTTTTTCGCTGCTTCTTATTCTTTTTCTTTGCCTTTGCACCACTGCCTGCTAGGATAGACCCACTTGATGGCCCGTCAGGACGGCAAGTCACCTCTTGCAGTGCTTATGCCTTCCCTTTACGGTTCATCACGTGCCAGGCAGCTGAGAAAAGATCATCTGTTCTCTGGGGCTCCGCAGGAGTTTTACTACTTGCGATCCCATGCTCCTTTCTGGCGTCAAGCTCATCATATTTGGAACTGGTTTTGGGAAAATCCACCGAAATTGCCCCCTTGGTGGGGCCACCTACGCTGGATAATATAGTCTGTGGAACCGCCGATTTACTGGCGGTCCCTCATTGTTCATTGGCGCCCTCTGGTAACTACCTCTGACACCTCTTTTTCTTTTTATTGGGCCTGAAATCGTGCATGTTACATATGTAACGTAACGTAATAAATTAGAATATTCAACATCTTCCGTGATTTCGTGGTATTCCTAGACCTAGAGATTTCGTGAAATCCTCATTTCCCTACGACATATATACGAGCTACATATCTCTTTAATAATTATTGACGACATGTGTTTTCCATTTCATTTTTCTCCATACTTTTACAGAAAGTGAAATTACATAATTTACTAGATTAAAATTTGCACTAAGAAAAAAAACAATCTTTCTTAGGGTAATTATATGCATATGTATAGGCCGCACGGATAAAGAATGGGATTGACTTGCATAATACAAATAACGAAACCCGCTAATAACGATATATCGTTAGTTTGTTAATTAAAGCGTTAGGTATTTTATTCAGTTAATTGGAAATTATCTATTAATGGGAAAATATATGAATAGAATTATACAGGGTTACAGGTTAAGTCGACCTAGATCCTTTAGTGGATTGTAGTTTGCATCATTACGGACTGTTTCGACTATGAAACACTACACCCTAAACTTGACCGTATTCAAGATATTAGATATTTGAGTTTTTATAAAAATTGCCAATTTTTTGTCTATTGTGCAAATTTTTTTGTAATTTGTGCATCTTGTTTTATTTTTCTTATAACTTTTATGAAGTAGATAAGTTGATTTATTATTTAAACACCAAGATCTTTGGTATATAAACAATCTGGGTCGTAGTGAACGATTGATAGTTGAAAAACGAATTAAATTTGTACAAAGTATTTTTTTCTTTGAGTATTATTTGTTATCTTGGCCGCCGAGTGCCAGATGTTTGTGTGTTTGACAGAATTTATCGACGACTTAGAGAGATTGGCTCTGTTTCAAGGCGACGAACAAACCTGCGTAGACCATGTGTCATTGATGATGACGAAGAGCAAGACAATGAGATAGTTCGACGAAAATTGTTGCCCGAGCACTTGGGACTCCCGCAGTGTGGTTTACTGTCGATACTGCGGGCCTATACGTGTATCACTACACGCCACTACAAGTTATTGAAGAAGAAGATCCTTTGAGGAGGTTCGATTTCTGCAAATTCATGATTGCATTTATCATATGATTTAAAAGACCCATAATCTCTGAGAAATATCTTATGGATTACCACAATGCTCATTATTAAGCCCCGAAAGAACAGGGAAATCCCAATAAGAAGCGGATAAAGGGATCACAGTGACGATTCAGCTCGAATGTTTGGATAGGCATAATATCGAACCGTTTGATTGAGCTTCACTTTCTGCCTGACAATTAAATGGAGACGCGTTATACAATGGGAGCATTGTTTTTTTTTTAATACTATCTGTGTGCGTTCCATCTAATTTTTTCTAGAAATTCTGGTAATACCCTATATTTTTATACCTTTTTGGATAGCTGAAGAAATGTAGATTTTTGTAAGTACATCTGCAATATATCTGCCATAGATTTTTTTTAAAATATTCTTCAAAGAAAAAAATACTTGGTACAAATTTATTTCTTTTTCAACAGTTAATAGTCTACTACGACCCGGATTGTTTATTTACCTAAGATCTTGGTGTTTAAAATAATAAAGCAACATACCTACTACACATAAATTAAAAGAAAAATAAAGCAAGATGCACAAATTACAAAAAAAAAAAAATAGTACAGTTGACAAAAAATTGGCAAATTTTATAAAAAAATTAAATATCTTATGTCTTGAAAATAGTTAAGTTTGGGGTATGGTGTTTCATAGTCGAAACAGTCAGTAATGATGGAAACTACAACCCCCTAAAGGATCTAGGTCGACTTAACCTGTAACCCTGTATATAGAAGTAGACATTACATTAAAAATAACATTTATAACCAGTGACCCGCACTGACCTCGCTTGGATAAAATTGAATTATTTATAAGTATTGATTAGTAAATTATTCATGAAGACTTAAATAAAACAATGTATTTATTAAATTAAGTTTATATTAATTTAAATAACAGTCAACAAAATGTTTCAAATAGGTCCGGCATGGAAGAAACTCTAAAGACATTTAGTTTTTACGTATACTAGTAATCTTTGAAAATTTAATTCTGCTATTTGAACCTTCACTAGAATCGTCTGAGAATAGTTTGATTCCGGATATTTCATCGTTATCTTCATAGTAATTGTTAGAATCGGAGCAGCTATCGCTTTGACAATCGCTGTTCAGCCTCTATGCTATTTGGAGGTATGTTTGGGATTAATTTTTCCGCAATATATTTAGTGACATTTCGCCTATTCATTTCATCATGCTAATCGCCTTATTTGGTTTTGACCTTAAAACTCAACTCAGCACCCTTCAAAAATCCATTTTCTAAACCTACATGCACAATATTCCATCTCCTTGGGTTCCGTGCCACCAAGTCTATCACTTTTTATTTTGTTTTGACTATTTGTTATTTAAGTATAAAGTATGTGGTATTATTATAGGCATAATTATAAAAAAATAGATAGATTCAATTCTGGTATTACCATTTTAAAGATACAGGAAGAACAAAAAAATCGTGGGAAATTTTTTTTTCAAGATTTCTTATATAAAGTCCCCCTTGGGCTTTTACATTTTATTCGTTTCATTATTTGCCATTAAAGTGACCATTATGGTTACTAATAATTAAAAAGTTACAGCCCTGCGACAAAAAGACGGATAGTCTTACTCTTAGTAATTAGTAATAGGGTTTCGTTGGCTACTCTGCCGGGTAGTGGCGTAGAAGTGTAAGAATATCTACTACCCCATATCGCCATGTGGGACTGTGGGTGTCGTCGTAGGAGGCGACAGAGGGAAACAAATCAGGTGGGCAGCATCATCTTCCTAATAACGACTAAAAATTAAAAAAAAAACTGCGATTGCAAATCTGCTTTCGAAGCGTAGCAACTATGAAAAAAATCCACCATATGAGGAAATCTATGGGGGGGAGGGGTATTCAGTATGTTATGGGCTTATTCAGTAGTGGACTTTAATAAGGTGTAACGGTACGATACGGGGCACACTTTGGGTACGGAACCCTAAAAACGGACAACGGTTGAAAAAATTGCGAATATAATAGTTTTGATTTATTATTTTATGGTAGGTACATAGTCTGTTCGAATCATTAATTATAAACAAACGGATAACTAGATAAACTTATACTTACAATATTTTTTTAATACGAGTGAAAATCCCGTTGCCATACCTGCCCTTACATTAGGTACTATATATGGGTGATAACGTTCCAGATTTTTCTCTTCCTCAAAATACTTTATAACGTTATATACAATTTTATGTGTAGCATTATATAGTAATTTCTCGCATTTATATTCCATTGTTAACAGAATGTACGTAAAATAGTAAAAGAAAAACACCAAATAACGTAATAGTCAACAAAAAGGAATAACTAACAAAGTTTTACCATAAATAATAATCAAAAAATAATAACAGCCACTTAAAAAAAAAATAAACAAAAACATATCTCAGAACGCGTCTAACTCTTAAATTTGCGATACCGGAATAATTTTATATAGTTTACGGCATTTTGTTACCATTTATGCCAATCACAATTCCGACTGAAGTTATAGTACATACTATGGAGTGTAGAAGTAAGGAGTACCAACTCCCATAGTAGAATAGTTGAAAAAGTGTCCACCTGTAAGCAGTAAATAACAGTTCAAAAACTCTCCACAACAGCGCTGGAGTAGCTACTGGGATGAAATGAACTTAGCAGTTGTCGTTTTTTGTCGTTGTTTGAAGTGTCTTGAAGTGTGAAATCTAAAATAATTTTATTTAGTAAATATAACCTCGAAAAAGTCGTCTATCCCACTAATATTTCGGCACGTTCTTTAAAATTTAGCCCGTAGCTATAGTGGCGCTACCCTTATTTAACGGTTTTCTATGGACACTTTTTAATACACAGTCTGTACTCCTTACTTCTACACTCCATGGCACATACGAAAAATCCATATCGCAACATTTTTTTTGTAGTTTTTACCGGCGGGTGTGTGTATAGATAGCGACAGTATGCGAGCGCGATGTAGATAGAGGGATGCCATTTTCAGTCCTATTCTTTAACCGCACGAATAGTAGGGTTTTACTTTAAATAAGTATTTTAATTATTTAATAATCAATACTACTTATTGTAAATGAAGCTTTATTTTTGAAGTAGTAACGATAATTTTACATTCCCTTTATTTTTTATATTTTTTTTATAGGATAGGGTGACAAACGAGCACACGGTCCACCTTATGGTAAGTGGTTGCTGTGGCCCATAGACATCTACATCTATCCTCGATTACGAATCAAAATGCAGATGCGTTTTCTCTCGTGAGGACTAAGACGGAATGCATCGTTTCCAGTAAAAAGGGTCTCCGGTTCTCTACACTCACTATTCGAAGCACAGCAGCAATAAGCTACTATTTGACGCTGGTATTCTGTGAGAGCGTGGTCCTTCCCCGGTCGAGCCGACCCATTCGTGCTACAACTATACCAAAGAACTATACTACTAATATACCTGCAGCATGGCTCTATCATGTATAGACTATTTGCATCATACAGATAGTTCATTGTATATACATTTCTTGCTACCTACTTATCTTCTTTATTGTATTTTTAATTTCTGAGTTACACATGCTCGATGATGAAGGGAAAAATATCGTGAGGGAAATTAAAAATATTTCGAGGCCGACATGCTTTAGAGGCTGACCGACGGACTTTTACTTTGTAAACGATAGGAAACATGTGATACTGTGCATAATTATATGCTGTATCACTATATTGTACTTTTTTATTAAGTAACTATTGTAATTTTTCTTCATAAACTATTGTAATTTAACTTTACTGTTTAATTATGTATCTACATTGTATTTAAGAACACTAATTTTTGTTTTAGGTAATTTGTTATCACCTACTGAAATACTCGGACTCCTGTCAGAAATATTAAATGAAAATTCACAAGAAGCCAAATATCCTTTAGGTATACTAACGAGTCAAAATCGTGATGAGTGGGCAAACCAAAGACAGCATTTAGAAAATACTGGCAACAAGGAGGCTTTACAAAAGATAGACTCTGCTATTTTTAATCTAATCCTAGACGATATAAGCATAAATGATGATAAACATAAACTACTTCAACATTTCTTGCATGGAGATGGCTTGAACAGGTAAACAAAAGAGATCTGTGAATAATTTCTTTGTTGTTATTTATTAGAAAATACTGGTACCTATTTTGAAACGGCACTAGAGTTTTGTTTTTAGATCACCATCACCTCTGTCAAGCGCGGTGAGTATGGGCAAATCTTTCAAGTAATGTACAACAACTGGCTTGTTCTTTAAAAAAACTGTATCTAGCCGTAGACATAAAAGGCAGTGGATGTAACAATTTCTACAAAATGCCACTGTCACCTGTGTACAATGCACTCTACTAAGTAACAAATACGATAACGGGGAATGACAACCTCTATATTGAAAATACTGAACCTAAATTCCACAGCTTGGTAATTGGAACAGTGATAACAATGTGAGTCATTATCGACTCTGTGGTCACAACCCTTTGGAGAGTATGATAGTAACCCTAGAGTAATTACAGTAGTATAGAGCGCGCGCAGCGAAGTAGGAACGGTAGGCACGGGTGAGAACAACACGACTTTCCCACCGCGAGCACTTTTAGTCGTGGTTGAGTGCTAGCAATGTGCGTTCCCCCAGATATTTTTTTCATATTTACATATTATATATTTCATATTTACATGCATATATTTATTAGCAAACACACAAAACTGAAATCCAGTATCACATTTCATCGATAAGTTGATTGAAAACAAATTACGCATCGCGAGGGTGAAGGAGACGGGAGGTGGGCAAGCAAAGCCCGCCTTCGCACCGCGCTTTATTTTTTTACCCGCTTCCGTTCTGGAAATTTCGACCTAAAAATGTACCCTGTGGTCGTCCGAAAACTTTGGTCGACAATGACTAATTAAAGGCGATTATGGAAGCTGATGATACTCAATCTACGGCTGAATTAGTGGGAGCTTTCGACGTTAGCATCAACACAATATTGTTCCATTTGTGTCAAAATGGGTGCCCCACGAACTCAATGATTGCCAGCGCGAATTAAGCGTCGAGACGTGTCTTGCACTGTTCAACAGACACAAGCGAAGGAATTTTAAAGCGCATTTTTACCTGCGACGAAAAATGAATTCTGTTTGACAATCGCAAGCGCTCAGCAAGTTGGTTGGATCCTGGTTCAGCACTTAAACAATGCCTTAAACGGAAAATTACCCTAGGAAATAATGGTCACTGTTTGGTGGTCCAAGTGGTATCGGTGTGATTCATCACAGCTTCTTACCAAACGGTATGACCATTGCTACAAATGTGTACTGTGGAGAACTGAACACATTGATGGAGAAGCTCGAGCGTCTCCAATCAGTTTTGGTCAATCGCTCGTCCCCGCTGCTCCTGTACGACAACGCGCGACCTCACACTTCACAACAGACGGTCTCCAATTTGCAAGAGAGGGTTGGAATCTCTCCGTCATCCGCCGTATTAACCAGAGCTTGCGCCTACAGATTTCTACTTTTCCAGAATCTGGAAAAATTTCATTACCCGAGAGGCAGTACAAAATGCCTTTGAAGAATTTGTTGCCACCCGTGCAGCTGATTTTTTTAAGAAGGACGTCAATAAACTGCCACTACGTTGACAAAGATGTACCGATTGCATGGGTGATTACTTTGATTAATAGAAATAAAAAAATATAGAGAAAAAATACGTTAAATTATTTCATAAAAAAAAAACGGCAATTTCTTAGGTTTTTCATAAGCAATTCCATATTTCCAGTCCAATTGGAGTTGAGTCATTACAATGTGCGATGTTAGTATGCTAAGCCTAATTTCGTAGCATATTATGGATTACATCAGGATTAGGTTAGGACTAAGATTTGACTGCGTATTGGCGGTGCAAGGATATCCAGTGCCCTAGAATATGAGCGGCAGCATCTTCCCAATAACAACTAAACAGTACAAACTGCGGTTGCCAATCCCCCTTCGAAGCGTGGCCACTTTTTTTTTATAGGATAGGGTGACAAACGAGCACACAGTCCACCTGATGGTAAGTGGTTGCTGTGGCCCATAGACATAAACATCTATCCTCAATTACGAATCAAAATGCAGATGCGTTGTCACCCGTGAGGACTTAGATGGAATGCCTCGTTTCCAGTTAAAAGGATCTTCAGTTCTCTACACTCACCATACGAAACACGGCAGCATTAAGCTACTATTTGACGCTGGTGTTCAACTATGTAAAATATCCCTCCTATGACACAGAGTGAGTGCTGCTAAGTTCTGGCATTTGTGACATTATACTCGTTACACAGTTGCACGTTACAGCCTATTAAAGTCCACTGCTGAAGATAGGCCTCCCCCATAGATTGCCTAATAAAAAGGTTATTTGCCTAAGCTGCCAAGTTTGGTAACCGCAGTTTATTTTTTATTTTAAGTCGTTATTAGCAAGATGCTGTTGCCCATCTCCTGATTTGTATCCCTCTGTCGCCTCCTACGACACCCACGCAATGATATGGGGTATAATGATATGGTATGGTGGATATTCTTACACCGCCACTATACGGATTATACTCGTATTATCATATAATAAGCAGTTGGTACCTTTCGAAGTTAATTAGAAATCTTCGTCATGGTATTTTTTTTACTCATTTGCGGTGGAACCTGACATTATGTCTTGTATGTACGTATAACAAATAATGTAGGTATGTATTATAATATACCGTTTCTATGTCCGCCCATAGTTGCTAAACTAGTCGTGGAATTTTGGCAAATAATATGGCATAATTGCGCTGGCAAAATAGACTATATTATGATGTCTGCTAAAAATAAATACATGTTCAGACAAAAATCTTTTAATTAAATAGATATTAGGGAAATGTATTTGTAAGTGATCACATAAAAGTATATATATATATATATATATCCTGTAAGTCCCAGGTGTTCATAATTGAGTCATGGATATTGCGAGGAAGGAGATGTCAAAATAGTCGAATGTCCTTTATAAAGAACCAAAGTAAGATAGTCATTAAGTCTTGAACCTTCAATACCGGTTTAAACTATTTTAGACTGTGCCTTAAAATTTTTGCAGAACAAAAGTTCATAAATAAGTAAAAATTTATTTACACTAAGTCAAATTATTCATATTTTTGTTCTTTATAAAGAACACTCGGTTTCAGTGTATTTTTATAGTAATTAATATAACATTTTTTATGGAAAAAAATGGTTTTCATTGTTTTTTTTATATTCATCACAAAATAAATAAATCAGAAGAAACATCATTATCATATATCAACTTAAGATAATTCGTAAGAAGAAAATAAGGAAATCGTGCCATAGTATTAATAATTTTGTAAACCATAACTTCAGTCGGTTTCTTTCGCTTATAACATTTTCTTTTAACTTTACAGATGGTTTGATAAGTCTTTTAGTCTTATTGTGACTAAAGATGGTTGGTCTGGTATCAATTTCGAGCATTCGTGGGGAGATGGCGTCGCAGTACTGAGATTCTTTCAAGAGCTCTATGGGGAAACAACGTCTAAGCCTTTTGTTCACCCCGATAGCGTTCCTGTAAAAACCAATGCAACTGTTAAAAAATTAGGTAAATATACTAAACTATTAATAATATATGACATATATTTTTGATTTTAATTTTGTTAAGGTAACACACGTATGTCCCGTACGTATTAATCACGCCTAAAAAGTTTTTTACTTTGGCTACCTCCGAGTTTGCGTGATTGTCCGTGATCCGTGACACACAGGTGATGTTTTACCCGTTTATTTTTATAGGTCTTTCAAAAATATTGGGGTTATGGAACAATATTTTTTCAATTCAGAGGTTCGTTCGCGTGTATTTACTATTTAGCATTGAGGTGGTATTTTTAATAGATTCATGTTTCCTCCCACCTAACAACTAAACCGCTATTTTCGGAATTTTAAAAAGTACGCACGATAGGAGTGTCATAATTTTAAAAAGAAAACTATCACCTTTAAGTTGGCTTAACAAGTTGACGACTAACTAACAGTTGACCAATTTATAAAATGCACTTGGATTAGTAAGAATTTCATTGATTAAAACTACTTTTACGGATTTTATCGCGTTTTATTTATATTATTTTTAATACCCGACGTTTCGGGTGCTTTCCAGCACCCATGGTCACGGGGGACTGAGGTGACTGACGTCCCGATGTCAAAGTTAACCCGGAGTACCTTCAGCTTTTTAATTATTGTCTTTGGTCCGATCTACGCAGAATGAACTAACTGTATCTTGAAGTCTTGCAGTGGTATGCTTGGGTTTAGTTTTAATTTTATTAATTATAGGATCCCAAGCAGGTGGTAGTACCCAGCTTCCTTCTCTATTGAAATTAGGATGTTTTTTTAATTACAATAGCCTCACGTATCATCCTTGGTAAGAATCGATGTTCTTTCGCGAGGATTTGTGGTCTATCAAATCTGATGTAATGGTTGGGGCCATCTAGAATATGATCGCAAACTGCAGACTTCCCGGAACGTTGATGCTTCACGTCAGCTATATGGCTATTCTTTTACGCGGGTTCTAATTGATCTCTTTGTTTGCCCTATATATGAGATACCACAATCACAATCAAGCTTGTACACTCCTGCATCTTGTAGAGGAATATGACACTTGACGGATGGTAAGAACTGACTAATCTTCTTCGGCGGCTTGTAGAATGTTCTAATAGAAGCTCGCTTCAAGATGTAGCCAATCTTGTCTGTGACACCTCTGACATATGGTAGTACAGCAGGCACACGCTCGACTGTGCCCGGCTTCACTCGGTCACTGTGACGGAGGCGCGGGACCCGAAGCTTGTTGTCGTGCAGAACCTGCTTGACGTGCTGAAGCTCGGCAGCCAGGTGTTTGCTGTCACAGATCCCTCGTGCTCTCTGAAACAAAGATTTGCCCACGGTAGCTAACTGTGAAGGATGATGGTGAGATTCACCATTTAAGTATCAGTTTGTATGGGTCTTTTTTCTATACACATTATGACCTATGGTGTTGTTAGGATTTCGGATGACTAACACATCTAGGAAAGCTAAGGAATTATTTGCCTCTAACTCCATAGTAAATTGAATTTTAGGGTTTATGGAATTAAGATGTTCTAAAAATGCAGTTACTTTGTCTGATGGTAAAATTGTGAAAGTATCGTCTACGTACCGCTTGTAGAACCTTGGGGTAACAGGTGCAGTAAGGAGGGCTTTCTCCTCAAAGTCTTCCATGAATATATCGGCGACAATGGGAGATACAGGTGAGCCCATCGCAACACCATCTACTTGCTTGTAAAACTCTTCCTTCCACAATAGATAGCCAGATGTAAGGCAATGTCTTAGTAGTACTGCATATTCTGGTGGCATATTATTTTCATCTAGTTTCCTAGTTATAATTGAGATGCAGTCTTCAACAGGTAGGCATGTAAATAGAGGCTGAACATCAAAACTGACCATGGTTTCATTGTCAGCAAGACGTGTGATTGTGGTCTCTCATATATAGGGCAAACAAAGAGATCAATTAGAACCCGCGTAAAAGAACACAATAGCTGACGTGAAGCATCAACGTTCCGGGAAGTCTGCAGTTTGCGATCATATTCTAGATGGCCCCAACTATTACATCAGATTTGATAGACCACAAATCCTCGCGAAAGAACATCGATTCCTACCAAGGATGATACGTGAGGCTATTGAAATTAAAAAACATCCTAATTTCAATAGAGAAGGAAGCTGGGTACTACCACCTGCTTGGGATCCTATAATTAATAAAATTAAAACTAAACCCAAGCATACCACTGCAAGACTTCAAAACACAGTTAGTTCATTCTGCGTAGATCGGACCAAAGACAATAATTAAAAAGCTGAAGGTACTCCGGATTAACTTTGACATCGGGACGTCAGTCACCTCAGTTCCCCGTGACCATGGGTGCTGGAAAGCACCCGAAATGTCGGGTATTAAAATTAATATAAATAAAACGCGATAAAATCCGTAAAGGTAGTTTTAATCAATGTATAGTGTTCGCGTAAATATAAGAAATCATTAGTAAGAATTTCGTTACAACTCCGTAGAAAACAACTTAAAACTAGCTGCATCTTAACTTTGTAATGTAAACTAGCTTTTTTTATTTTATTTAAAAAACTTTATCTCTACACTAGGATTTTCGCCTGTATCGTGGGGGCAGTTTACAAACATAAATTGCACAAGCACAAATATCCAGGCCCGGAACAATTATTTGTAGGCCATACAATTACTTGTTCCGTACGGGATTCGAACCCGCGACCCCCAGCGCAGCCACTCATTGCTTAGCCACTGTGCCACGGAGTCGTCAAACTCACCACTGTGGGATTTAGAAGTTTCTTCCTTACACAACTTCCTTGTGGAATCGACTCCATCAGAGATTTTTACGGAACGATACGACTTGGGACCTTCAACAAAAGAGCTTGCCCTTTTTAAAAGGAAGGCAACGCATCTGCCTTTCCTCTGTTAAAAATGTTAGTAAATTTTTTTATTAATTGGTAAGTTTTCTTGGCGCGGACATGGAATTTATGTTAATCTATAAGCTTATGCTAATATATCTGAAATTTATGTTTTTTACGTGGTAAATCCACGCTGCAGTTTTATGTAGCACGAATGGGTCGGCTCGCCCGGGGTAGGACCACTCTCACAGAATACCAGCAAGAAATAGCAGCCTAATACTGCTGTGTTTCGTATGTAGAGTGAACTCGTTACACTTTAAAAAAAATCTAGAACCGTCTGTATTGTTACAATGGAATAAAATACTCGGTACTTTGAATTATATGTAAATTGCAAGGAAATAAACACTCATTCAGAATAAAATTATGTCACTAATGACGAACGGATTGATAAATAAAGTATAAAATCTGATTTTAAGTAAGTGCAAAGAAATTTCAAATGATATAATATTTACCTATTAATGATAATAAGCCGTGGTAGCTCAGATGGTTAACGCTCGCTGTAAATATAACAGAACGCGAGTAACTCGGGTTCGATCCCCGCCGTCACCAATGACATTGTTAATTGCAGTTTTAAGTGCTGAATTAACACGTGCTCAGCGGTGAAGGAAAACATCGTGAGAAAAAAACAAAAGAGCAGAACAACGTCTGCCTGGCAACCTAGTAACATTGTATATTGTATATTATAAAATAATATACTTTTTTTTACAGATTTTAAACTAGACGATAAATCAATTCATTTTATAGAAAAAGCCAAAAAAGAATACAAAGAATGGTGTGATTCATTAAGTATTGATTATATTCTTTACGAAGGACTTAACAAAGGAGCATGTAAAAAATTCAAAGTCAGTCCGGATTGCATCATGCAGCTAGCTTTTCAGGTATGACCTCTTATTACAGGCGTTGAGGCATTGATCTTAGTTCTCAAAGCCTGCTTTTTAAAAGTCTGTTGCATGTGTCCATTAGTTTAAGTGACCAGTAACCACTTATTATCAGGTGGACTGTTTTCTTTATTTTTAATTTATTGTTTTAAAAATAAATTTAGTTGAAAGAAGGTGCAATGATGTTAAATTGCCTCTATTTTGTCGTTTTTTTTTCTTGTCATAGTTTTAGTGAAGATAACCTTAATAGACAACCGCGTAGTATTGTGCTCGGTATAGTCCATAACACCGTGTATCTTGGACTTGAATCCAGGCTGCGAGCAATATTTCTGTGACGTCACAATTCGGTTTTCGGCTCCTTGTCTCCGAATCTTAACAATCTACCTCTGATCTTGTTGCAAAAGTGTCGTTGGTTACAATAATGACGCCGTTTAATTAATATTGACGATTGTTATAAGAATATTTGATTAGGCAGAATGTTCTTTTTTATCAGCCTGATTTAAGTACGCTGTTGAACATTGGCCTCTCCCATTGTAGGGAGGATTTGCCTATAGGATAGCAGTACTAGACATGGGTAAGTCAGCAAAATTCCTTGCATCCATTCACATCCATTTACTCAGTAACTCAGGTGCAGTTTACTGCGCCGGCTCATTGCGTTAACTCAAAATCGCGCCATAGCGCAACAAATTTTAAACATCTAGGTATCAACTCAGCCATCTGTCAAAATAAAACCGTGTGGCCAGTAAGTAAAATACATTGTAGAAAAGAAAGATTACTTACATATTGAGTACTATGTATCACTCTTTTATATTTCACGTAGTTGCAGTTTATAATAATAATATAAAGTAACAAACTAAACACAGATATTAAGTTATCTAGTTCAGACACAGATGTTCACCGAATTGTATTTATTGTTAAGCTGTATCTTAAAGTGTTTGTATCCTAGAAATTAAGATATTCTTTGATTGAAATAATAATAATGACGAGAACCTCGTGAAAGCCGAAACAGATAAACGAACAAAATATCTGGACCTGGCTCACGAGGTGACCGACATGTGGGGTGGTCTGTCGGCCGCAATTATTCCTGTAGTCGTCTCTGCGAATGGGCTAATCCCAGCCAGCCACTCGGGTCATCTGAAGCTACTGGGACTCCGTGACCTCCTCGATACAGCCCGCATCGTCCGCCGGTTTCTCTCCCTTTCCTCCTAACCCTCGGCCGTTTGGTCTCCCCTGTCGAGAGCTTCCATCTGGTTGGATCTCTTTATTTATGTATTTATATGTTCATAGAACCCAACCAGATGAGAAAACTATATAGCTACCCCAATAATAATAATAATAATCTTAACACATTTCGAATTTCCCGGCGCCTGGTCAATATATTTCGAAAAAGTGAGTTAAGACATCAGCGCAGTGAACTGAGTTAGCGCACTTGCACGGTACATCGCATCGTTACCCAGGTCTACGCAATACTAAACGTTTTGCACCTTTGACGTTGCTCCCTGTCGCCGGTATAGGTAATTTCACACCTGGCTAAAAGAACCGTAAGATCCTGACTGACCTTTTACGACACCTACGGCACAAAATGGTATAATAAATTCTCTTACGCCGTGTACAGAAAGAAAGCTCTATCATCAGAAAGAAAGATCTACCAGCGCTTGTCTATTCTGATAACAGTTACATAAAGCAAGCCGATTGAAGCAGAGCGAGCAAAATGTACTCATTGGAGGATTAATTAGTTTTGTTAGAAAATGTGTATTTTAAAATGCGAAAACAAGCTATACAACTTATTAATAAGGAAAGGAAACGTTTCGAAGAATACCATATTTGATTTGTAAAACAATTGAAATTTGATGATCAAAAATTCTATAGATATACAAGAATGACTTAAGAAACATTTTATTACATTTTGGACTTAGTGGAAAAACATTTGATGAAGTCTCGGTGCAATTTGCATAAACAACCAATCCTTCCAGAAGAAAGACTTGTTGCCACCATTCGGTAAGTACGAAAAATATATTTATCGCTTAGTTATTAGATTTATAAAAAGATTACATATATTAAAAAAAGGTTTAAAAAAAGAAGTTTATTTGTCCATTAGTCAATTTTTAACAGATATTCGCCTTAGAACTGTACTTCAAGGCGAATATCTGTTAAAACTTGTACAGTCAATAGCAGATCAAGCGTAATTCTTTAAGATTTGTACTACCGACCTTATTCTTTTGTAATAAGAGCAATTTTAAAAAGTATCTAAGTGTTACCCTTGACATGCCGTCTTCCGTACCACATATTAGCACAGATTTAAGTTCCAAGCTAACCAACTGTATGTTGTTATTGTAACGAGTATATTTTAACCGATTTTAAAAACTCTTTAACGTATTTTAATAACCGTGTCACGATAACGTTTAAATACGGATAAAGTTAAAGCTTTATGGTTCTCAAATGAATATTAGTAGATGAATAAAAATTGACGAATGGAAAATAATTATTCGTGAATTTTATAAGTAGCTTTATTTTGTAAAAAAAAAAAAAAACAATTTCAATATATGTAATATATTTTTATTTCTTATTTACATTTTTATAAAAAGTTGTTCTTAATTATTACAGTTGGTTGGGCGGCGGGCCTAGGGGTTCCCGAGTTCGATTCCCATTCGAGCCTTCCCCAGGTCGAGCCTTGACCCTATTGTGCGAGATGTTATGCTAGGTGGACTGTATACGAGGGTGGCTTCTTATGCCTCAACAAGATGGCGGACGTGGCACGCGACAACCTTCGACAATGCACTCGCCCTTCCAAATCTATTGCTTGCCAAGGTTAGGATGGAATTCTACTTGAGACAATTAGGAGAAACAAAATGGGACGGGTTAGTTAATGAACAAAAGGCTCAAGTAGCGAATAATTGGAGCCACACTTACCGGGGTGTGATTCTGATGCTGCGGACGACGCTCCCGTTGTGGTAATGCTACGTGAGGTGGTTTTTTCTGGGGCGCCCCAGAGATGCGATCCAGGCTAGCGGTGCGAAGGTAGAGTGTTGCGCGACGATATCTCACACTATGTGAGGCGGTTACTTCTGGGGCGCGACTGCTCCAGGTGGTGCGGTTCAGACTAGCGGCGCGAAGGCATGAGGGCGCTCGAGGGCCGCGCGCGATCCTTTATTAGCTCGGCTTTCCCACTAATTCACCTCGGTGGGGCGCGCGTGTCATTGGTCAAAAGAATCGCGTCACCTTCTAGACCCCTCCCCTTTCCCATTTCAGTGTGTACGGAAGGGACATGAGGTTAAAGGAAGGACAAACACTTGGCAAATATACCCTCGAACAAAATTAAAATACACAAATCATTTCCGCGTAACCATCCCCCCCCCCCGGCTTGAAGGGTCCCCTTCAAAATACCTAACGCTAAGATTAAACCTAATTTTCGACTATAATTTCTAATCTAGAAAGCTAATTCAAACTATTGATTGGGCAAAGGGCACAAACGGTAAAAAAGGCGCGTGTAAGACCCAGTCGTGGTCCTAACACGAGCTACCCTAGTTACCCCGTCGGAATCAGGAAAAACTTCTTCGACGATCCCTAATGGCCAATGGAGAGGCGGCGTATTCTCCTTGGTGAGTACAACCACAGTTCCGACAGTTAAAGGTTCAGTTGTTGTGTTCCATTTTTGCCGAGACAGCAACGTATGCAAGTATTCCGTCTTATATCGTTTCCAAAACGACTGCACCAATCGGTCCAATAATTTATGGCGTGCAGAAATACTAAGTTTGTCCTCGTCTATGTCTATGGCGGGCAGATATTTCAAAGGCGTTAAATTCAACCTGTGCACCCGATTGCGGATTAAATTACGTGCAGAAAGAATCCAATAATTCTGACGCAAGATTGACATCAGTCGGGGCCAGCGGGAGAATTCAATTTATGGTGGTAATCAACTAATAAATTCATGATATGGTCCTTACGCGGTAAAACTATAGGGTGCCGTTGATCGAAACTCAACTGCGAGTTAGACAAGCGTCCGTTAGAGTAGGTACTCTAACGATTCCATCTTGTAAAAAGGGCTTAAGGAGTTGAAAAGCGCGACTACAAGTTCTATTCGATTGTAATCTTGTAATTTCATCGGAAAAATGTGCACGTGGAAGTTCACGCAATACTAGCAACTCGGCACAACTACAATCAGATGTAACGATACTCGTATACGAACAAACAATACTTATTGACTTCTAAACTACAAAGGCTACATTGTAACGACAAAAATGATTTAAATGTAACACAGCGTCAGCGTACTGCTGTAGCGCAGCTAAACTATATATATATATATATATTTGTTATGGAATCTAACAAGCTAAACAAACACTAAACAAAATACTAATATATAATTGTATCAACGACAAACTAATTATATCAACGACAAACTAATATTTAAATAATAAAACTATCTATCACAAGTATGCAATTTCTAAGCGACTAAACTATAAATATTAAAGCGGTAAAACTATGCGATGAACGCTTCGGAACAATACTCTTATGGCTTGTTGCTCGCGAAGCCTCACTTCCTTCCGCCAAGCAAGATTGGCCTCATCCGGTCTATTCCGTAGCCTCCAATGAAGCACGCTTTCTGTCGCAGCGGCTCGGCGTCTCCATGCGCCGCGACCGTGACCTCGATCGGTGCCTCGGGCGATTCCGCTAACGACATCGATTCTATAGTCTATCAACGTCGTGCAGTCCGCGCCCACGGCCACGCCCACAGCTACACACGTAGGGATTTGGGATCGAGTTATCTTGAGATTAGTATGGATTTATTTAAATTTATTACGAAGTATTGTGTGATGTAGTGATGAATTCCATATAATATTAAATCACTTTATATTATAAAAAAGTAAACCGAAACCAAAACCCCGCCGCGTCTGTATGATAAACTCAAAAACAACTGAACGGATTTTCTCCAATAGACGGATTGATTCATGAGGAAGCTTTGCAAAATCTAGTACAAGTATAAAATGTAATGCACGCCGAAA